GATCAACTCAAAATTTAACTAAAAAAACTAAAAGAAATAAGTAAATTACCAACAGATATTCAGGCTGAGGCGACAAACGCCATATCCAAACTACCTCCATTTAAATCCCAAATAACTTATGAAAAGGAATACAAAAATTTTCAAAAATGGAAACAATTAAAAAACGTGCGAGAATCTCCTCGTTGTTAAAGTATCATTTAATCTACCCTTGTGGTTAAAGTACTATTTTATCTATTATTTTTGATAGATATAAGGCAATTCTAACAATTGCCAGGGAAAAAATATACTAAATTCAGTAAAAATAAAATTATCTATTAAATAATTGTATAATAAATAAATAGTCATAGTCAATAGACTATAAATTCAAACCGCTCACTCCTATATCGAACACTCTTTGCTCAGACTTATTTATTTTCAATTCGCAATACTAACGAGTTCGTTAAGCCTTCGTCTCTTCTTCAATTTGCAAGTGTAATTTAAATCTCTCCTATTGGTCATCTAATTAGGAAGATCTTGAGGAAGACCTTCGTGACGATGATTAGCATACGATCAGTGGCAATCGGCACGAAATGAAGACATTCATTTCAACGGGCCACCCAGCGAAGATCGATTCGGCATCTTCATTAGTTCCATTAAGTTTCCTCTTTTTCTTCTTTATTTATTCACGGTATTGTGTAATTTATGTTGCAGTTTTCGTTGAATTACGATTAGCAATTTTATTTATAGATTTGTGAAAAAAAATCACCAATCATAAGTGTCGTTTACATGCTTCCTTATTAATTTTAGAAAAGGGTATATTGTTTTATTAAGAGTAAAAATGATACTTTTTGTAGCGAGGCAACTTTTAAGTCCATTGTTACCAACCATGGACATATTTCGGTGCCAGGCTGACCAATTGGAATTTTTAGAAAATTCAAAAACACGTCAATTTTGTTTGTGAGGGGGACAACTTTTGCCCCCAAAATGATTGCAAAATCTTCAACCCTCTAAGCGGGGGTGTCATCCCCCAACTTTTTTCAAATCGGAAGGGGGTCAAGTGGCGCCGCAATGAAAAGAGCTTTCTATTCTCTATATTTCCCCGCTTCGTTTTTGAAAATGAGAGAACAACTTAAACGCATAAGTCACAGAACAGCTAGCTAGCAACTACCGCACCTGATCGTTCAACCTTGTTTGACCTTGTGGCTAACATTAACAAAAAAAACATTTAATGAAAGTTTTTAAAGTACTGGATTAGATCAGGCTATCTATCTATTTTTGAAGCATTGAACTCTAAAACATTTCTTTATGTCATGAAATAATCAATTAAAGAGGAAGACACCATGCTTAAATGATACTATAGCGAAAATAACTGTCGGCAATGCCAATAATAAAAGAGTTTTTCCTCTTGTAAAGACAATCTGGGGACATACTGTATATTTATTTATTACTTTGTGTTTACTGATAATATCATATAATTAGTATTACAGTTGCTGCTTAGTTTGATAGGTATTAAAATAAAAAAAAAATCTATAAGCAATTATGAAAAGTGTATAAACATTATTACATTTTGTGGTGTCTGTGTCAATATTGGATTTAGTTTATCTGAAAATCATATTATTTATCCACTAAATCAAAAACAAAGCAATAGAAAAGAGTTGTTTATTTCAAATTATTTGTTTACTGGAATAATCGAAAACAAGATTTGTTAACTACTACTTGGCACTGTCATTAACCAAAAACTATTTAAAAATAATATATTTTCATTTGGTTGTATGTATGATTTTCTTCATTTTTTTTTATTTCTGTATATGTACATATTTGCAGCATATTCTCTAATAGAGAACATATCTATATAGTTTTTTGAATGAATGATTATTTAGAGTATTTTATAATAATCTTTAATAATACTTGTTAAATGAATATACAATAAATTATATTTTGTTCAAAATTGATTCTTTGCAAACTATCTTGTAACAGCAATCTGGAAACGGGTCATTGATATCTCCATCTAGAATTTGACATTCCCCGTCTACTGCTACTGTAGAGCACCTGATTTAGAATTAAATATAATTCCAAAATTATATATATACATATATTAACTTATAATACTATATAGAAATGTGTTATTTTTTATAATAAATATGGTTGTTGCAAACAGATCTACAATCAACACAAAATTTGTAGTATTGTTTGCACTGTTATTAAGAATAAAACTAGCCAAAAAACAACAAAATACTTAAAAGTTTTGGCATCTTGTCGTAAAATATGTTAAATAGCTCTTACCCTTCCAGGGCTAGGTCCAAATTTGGTTGACAGGTTGCTATGGCGCAGCTTTCTGACAGTTTTTTTCTTTCACCAAACCCCAGCTCTCCGATGTCCTGGTACAAACTGAAGCAACGGTTATCTAGAAATACAAATACAGTATGGTTAAAAAGATTGTAAATATATACAGAGTGTCTCATAAATAAATGTAAGTATTTTAAATAGTAATGGTGATCTGGACAAAGGAAACATATTTTTTGTTTAGTTTTGAAATGACGACATTAACTGGTAATCAACAAAATCCCGGCTTATTCGACGGCTTTTTTTTGCTACATCCAATGAAAGTATGGATGAAAATATGGCGATATGAGAAACTGCAATATTTACTAAGATTTATTCTTTCAATTTAGTTCAAATTAACAGTAAAAATGTATAATTATTAGTAATACAACTGATATAGGTAACTAAAATTAATCTTCTTAATTTATTGTATAGAAAATGTAGGTAACGTAGAAAGTGGTAACATTACACAATTAACAAATTTCAGGAGAATTATACAACCAGTTACAATACATGCGCTTATTTAAGGGACACCCTGTATATATACGAAACTACTTAAATATTTAAGAATGGCAAAAAAACATTTAACATACGTATTCGAAATTTTTCCGAGAGAATTTTTGGTCTACAGGAAATATTGCCGAGTGGTACTTTTCAAAATAATCACCCTGTATACATTATGTATATTAAAAACTCACCTGGTATTTTATGGGATGCCCTTTCTGTATCGTTTCTCAAAATTATCCCTACCCATGCCATAGTACCGTGACAAAATAATCCAAAAATAATAGTAAAAACTAAGAGCTTCATGTTGATTCTAACTAGTCTGTATTGCTAATAAGCTGTGGGTCAAGACACGATATGGACCGACCATGTGATTAATATTTGTTAAAAATAATAATAAACAATGATAACCGTCTTACGAATATACAGAATTAGATTGTTTATTTGGATTTTCCATAAGATATAATACCACTAAATATATTTTACTACGAAATAAATCACACAAGTTTAATATTAGAATAATTAAAAATAATGCAAAAAAAAATCACATCTAATCACAGTAAAAGTGTAATAAAAAAAGGTGTTATAAAAAGTTTATATGATAGTGCAAAAAAAATATGTTCAGACGACATTTCACTAAACAGAGATATAAACCACATAAAAAATACATTAATAAAAAACGTCTATACACCATATTTTATTGACAAAACATTAAATGAAATACAAACCCCAAATCATAGACACAATGATAACAATACCCAATATAGAACTTATATTTCCATACATACGAGGCGTTTCGGAAAAAAATAAGAAGGATAGGAAAACTATATAACATACGAACATCTTTCAAAACACAAAATATATTTAGATACATTTTATCGCATACTAAACCAATGAATACAGAACAACAAACAAAAAATGTAATATACAAAATACCATGTGAATGCGATAAATTTTACATTGGTGAAACATCTAGACCCTTAAATGTTGGAATTAAAGAACATAAAGATTATTTAACACAGGATTATAATGAAAGAAGCGATAGCCTCTAAAAGAAAAATAAAAAAGGCTTTTTTAATACAATCTAATCAAATTAAATGTATTGCTCATGCATCTGTAGATGTTAGTAATGTATAGCAATCGCTTCTTTGATTTTAAAGAACATAACATACGTAAAAATTAAAAATAATCATACAGAAAGTTTGGGGTTTTTTGGTTTTACCTTATTAAATTGTTATCAGGTAGTAATTGTTAATTTTGAAGGTTAACTTAATATAATGTCATTTTAACAGAACGTCAACGGTTTTCTGCAGACGTATCTGTTTAAAAAAAAAACAAAGTGTTCTCGAATAGTTGAATTTTAATATTTTAAATAGTTTTTTTCTTTATTCTTTGTATTTTTTTTGCTTCCGACGACGGAAAGAGATAAACTTTCCAAAACTATTTTATTTTGTAGATTTTCTTGCAGTGGTGAAATACCCATATAGGATTGTTTGGAGAGATGAATCCGCCACATAGGTATAGACATTTTTTTTAAAATAATGCCATACGATCGTGAAAAAAAACGGCGTCAAAGACGGCTGGGGAATGACAATCGATGATAATTTTGGCGAGGCTGAGCTCTAGGCGTCATCTATCGACATGAATAAAACAATTAAATGTGGCAAAATATTTTATATTTTTTGAAGCATTTTGAACTTTCGGCCTTTCTTTTGAGTTTTTTTTTGGGTAGAAATGAGTAATTTATAATTTATTAAAAAAAAATTACGCAATGTTATTCATTACATAGCCAAATTTTCGCAATTTTATGTAATTTTAATTTTAGTGTTTTTCATAATCGTACGACTTATTTATAACGAATATTCTTTCGAGTCTATTAGTATATTATTTAGATTAAAATCTCTGAGAATAACTGAAGTGAATTATCAGTAGACATACAAAATATATTAAAACCAGCGGTGGAGGATCTTTTACCAATATATTTTAGCTCAATTTTTAGTAATAAAATATTATGAAATACACAAAATTATAAAAAAACAGCAATAATCAGGGAACTAAAAAAAACGAATTTTCATGTGCCATGAAAAATTGTTTTTTTTTGTTTTTTTTTCAGTGACGAGGAAAAAAATAACTCCCTGCCACTGGTTAAAACAAACAAGTTATCTAATGATATAGTACTACAACATTATAATGTAGATTATTTAAATATAAGTCATATTAACGGAAAGTCCGTTAACACATTAGTTTTTGTAGTGATACCAAATTCTTTCATAACATCATTTATTTTGAAATTTTTTCAATATGGCCGTTCCAAAATTTGGAAAATGCAATATTCCGGCTGTGGGTTACGGTACGTTTTCCGTAAGTACCTAAATGTTAAATATTTTGTGCAATTTTATCATATATTTTAAAAAAGTATTGTATCAAAGATTAGCAAAATATCGTCATATATCAATATACAGGGTGTCCCAGAAATAAGTGCAGTATTTTAACTGGGAGTATAGTTCAACCACAGAAACACGTCTTTGAGGTTTTTTCGCGAAAAAATATTTTGAAAATTCGGAATTTATTGAAATTTTTTTGGAATTTTTTTCTTTTTTGGAGTTTTTATTTAAAAAAAAATAATTTTTTGTCAAAAATTGTCTCAAAATTTTAACGAAAAATCTTTTTTTTTGAAATTTTCAAAGTAAAATAACTCCGTTATTTTGGACTTATTTGAAAAATGATAAAGATAAAATATGTTTCTTTTATCGAGATGTACCACCTCTTAAAATACTTGCACTTATTTCTGGGACACCTTGTATATATAGTTCATATCAAATAAACTTTTAGTCATGTAATTAAGCTTAATCGGCACAGCGTTGCCTATTTTTACACATTTTCTTTTAATCAAAATATTTTAGGAAACAAAAATAAATTAATAATAAATATACAGGGTGTTTCAAAACAAATGCGAAAAACTTCAGGGGGCGATTCCTTGTTCAAAATAAAGGGTAGTTTGCTTCATAAACGTCGCGGTACAAAGATGGGGGAAAAATAATGTTTTTATTTTTTATCTTGAAAACGAAAAGAGATAGACTAATGAAATTTTATGGAAGTATTGCTGTTATGAAAACACACTTTCTGATAATTTTTTCACTTTTTTAAAATAAGTGGAAGGGGTTGAAATAAACTACCCCTATCATTCTTGTTATCGAAATTTAAAGAAAAATCTTATTAAACACATGCAAAAAAAATAATTTGGATAGCTTGGTTTGTTTAGAAACTTTTTTATCTCTTGTGTTTTTTTGATAAAACTACCGATTTGAAATTAAAAAATAAAATGTAAAGCATTACATGTCAGGACAAAAGATATTTTTAGATAAAGAATCTAGTGGGCTGCTCTAATTTTTTTAGGAAAAAATCTAGTGGGCCGCTGTCACTTTTTAGGATGTTTCTAATATTATTTTATTGACCATTACTCTACTGCAATACGTTATTATCTAGGTTCTTATTATTAGCGTTATTATCACTAGATTCTTTATCTAAAAATGTTTTTTATCCTGACATGTAATGCTTTACATTTTATTTTTTAATTTCAAATCGGGGAGTTTTATCAAAGAAACACAAGAGATAAAAAAGTATCTAAACAAACCAAGCTATCCAAATTAATTTTTTTGCATGTGTTTGATAAGATTTTTTTTAAATTTCGTTAACAAAAATGATAGGGGTAGTTTATTTCAACCCCTTCCACTCATTTTAAAAAAGTGAGAAAATTACCAGAAAGTATGTTTTCATAACAGTAATGCTTCCATAAAATTTCATTAGTCTATCATTTTTCGTTTTCAAGATAAAAAATAAAAACATTATTTTTCCGCTATCTTTGTACCGCGATATCTCCCTAATGGTTGACTTTTGACCCAACGTTTATAAAGCAAACTACCCTTTATTTTGAACAAGAAATCACCCCCTGAAATTTTTCGCATTTGTTTCGAAACACCCTGTATAAACAGTTATTATTTACATCAACAAAATTCATGTCCTTAAGAGTACTTAAGAGACATAAAGGGCCATTACCACAGCTTTCCTGTTCAAAATATTCTAATAAAGTTGCGATGATTTTTTTACGGCTATTAAGCTATCTTGTACACTCCGCAGATGTTCTAAATTCGACTGCAAGGTCTGCTAGTATTTTTTTTAAGCTTTTGATTTAGAAGTCACGGGCACAAAATTTATCTTTATTATTACACAGTCTAATTAAATATACAAAATCAAATAATACTTGAGATATCTGTTTTTCTTTCTCAAAATGTAACTTATTTCTCGAAATGTTCTTCGAGACTTACAGTTGGGATATGGAATCTTTGGTGTATACTAGTGTGTTATTTTGTCAGCTTAGTGTTTGATTATAATTATTATTCTACAGATTGTCGATGAAGAAGTACTAGAAAAGGCCCTAGGAGCTGCCATCGAAACAGGTTACAGGCATATAGATACAGCTCATACTTATGATAACGAGCATTTGATAGGGAAAGTGTTAAAAAAATGGTTTGATTCTGGAAAGTTACGTAGAGAAGACATTTTTATCACAACAAAACTACCGCCACATGGCGTTCATCCTGATAGGTACATGATTTTAAGATAAATTATAAAATATTTTATAACCTCAAAACTTAATGATATATAGTCCCACGAGAAGACCCAGCTGTCACTGTCCTAGTTACACAAATGTCACTGTCATAGTGACAGTATCTGCCATTTTAATTGACAGATCGATTGTTTCTCTGTTATTTTTTTGGACTTTGTTTGTCGAAATCTTTCTTTATTTGTTGGACAAACTATATTAGTTATTAAGGTAGCCGTTAAAATGTTGATATAAAACCCAAAAATTATATTCGTCACATTTTGCTAAAAAATGTTGACTTTTTGGTATTAAGTATTACTTGACTATGACAGTTGTATATCATTTTAATTATTCAAAAGTTACTTTAAAAATGTTTTCGAATCTGCCAGAAAGCACTCTGAATCACCTAACAACTTTAATAAACATGTCGTTCCAAAATGGTATTTTTCCAAAATGTCTCAAGACGGCAATAATCATTCCTCTGCATAAAGGAAGAGACAAAGATGAAGCTTCTAACTATCGCCCAATTGCACTCCTTCCAACGCTATCTAAGATCATAGAAAGGTTGGTTAAAAGAAGGCTGGTATCTTTTCTGTTTAAGTACAAAATACTTACTGAATATCAATTTGGATCTCTAAGCAACAAGTCCATAAATCATTCTACAGCAACAATTTTCTGTGATTTTTCTAAGGCGTTCGATTGTGTAAATCACAAGATCCTAATTAATAAACTGCAGCACTATGGGTTCAGGGGATCATCTCTCGAATGGTTTAAGTCGTATCTGAGCAACAGAAGTCAACTTGTGAGGGTGGATACCACGTTGTCTTCTAACAAGCCAATAGAATGTGGAGTACCACAAGGCTCAGTACTAGTCCCTATTTTGTTTCTTCTTTTTATTAACGACATTGCTAACATAAACATCAGTGGCAAAATATGTCTTTTTGCGGACGACACTAGCTTCACTTGGAGCAACAAGCACTTACTATTACGGCACTTCATAGGATTATATCAAATGACTTAATCACCATTAAATCTTGGTGCGATTCGAACCTCCTGAGTCTCAACATTTCTAAAACTAAAGCTTTGTCGTATAAAAACTCGCTGCAGCCTTTTGTACTTAACAACACCACCATTGACGTCGTAAAATCTGTAAAATTCTTAGGGCTTGTTGTGGACAATTCTCTGAAATGGGACATACATATCGAAGCTTTGTCGAAAAAATTGAGCTCTGCCTGTTTTGCTTAAGGTCTGTTTCTAAGGAGCTTAACTTGTCAGTGGCTAGAACTGTTTATTATGCACTTTTTGAGGCGTACCTCAGGTATGCCCTTCCATTCTGGGGTACGTGTTGTGCAACTTAATTTGACCGCATTTTCAAGCTCCAGAAGAGAGCTGTGCGATATTCACTGGGACTGAACAGCAGAACTCATTGCCGGGACTTTTTTAAAGAATTAAAAATATTGACTCTTCCTTCCTTATTTATATTTGAATCTGTTTGCCTAATACGTAAACATGTATCAAGCTTCTCAAGAAAGGCCATCTCACACTTATGCACTCAGGAACGCGGAGCAAGATCTTTATCTACCTACCCCACGCTCAGAGTTAGTTAAAAGTTCAATATTATACAACTCGAAAAAAATGCACACTACGGTTTCTACGACACAAATGCTTTCTACGACGTAAATGAATTATATTTTGAAAATCGAATTTGATCTTGTAAACACTGGTCTAATGTTTGCTATTGCTATATTTGCTAATGGCATCGAAATAAATTTATTTAGAGGTCATTGATATTTACTATAAACTAACTAAATATTTTTGAATATCATTTTTATTTTTTTGTTCTTTGACATTGTAAACATTTATAAAGGTTTCTTCTAAACAATAAGACTGACAATATTATTTGTATAATGTTTTGTATGATCTTTTGTTTGTTTGTTTGTGTACCTTGTTTTTTTACTTTGTTTGTTTAGTTTACCTTTGTCTACAAATTGAAAAATTTTTTGACAATAAAGGCATTTATTTATATTTATTTATTTAAAGTAAATTTATTATTCTGTCAATTTATATCGTATGTCAAATAAGTCTTCTCTTGTCTCTTTGAATTCAACTTTTTTATTAATAAACTGTAAAAATTCGTTTCAGAGTTGAAAAGTTTTTGAAGGAATCTTTGGAAAAGTTGCAGCTTGATTATATTGATCTCTACTTGATACATTTTCCAGTTACAACCAAAACTAGGTTACATGTGCTTCCATTGGAGGTTGAACCCACAGATCATCTAGCAGTTTGGAAAGTTAGAATCAATTACTTTATCTTACTATGACAAAAAAAAATTCTAATAGAATAGCTATACAGGGGTAGTATACATGATTCTAGGAAAAAAATAAAGGTGACTTTCATTAGAGAAGTATATAACTAAATGTAAAGTTTTTGGTATATTAAACAATTTATAAAAATGAAGAACAAATTTTAAATTTCAATAAAAGCTACTTAAATTAGAACTTACCCTGTAGAGCCTAATAAGTAATTCAAATAACCATTGCAATTTAAATCAAACTAAGACTTGACCCGGAAAGCAATACAGAGTGAGACAAAATTAATATTGAACATTGGTCACTTTCAAAAAAGTTACGCTTTTATTTTAAATGAAACACATACTGGGTGTTTATTCCGATACTCATTGGAGAATTCACATCTCTTCAAAATACTGTTTAAGTTTTTTCAATATTTCTGGAAAATTCATAAAAAATAAAAAAAAAATCAACAATATTCTTCTGATGTTCTGTCTCTTTGCAGAAACTAGAAGAACAAGTTGACTTGGGACGGGTCAAAAACATCGGCCTGTCAAACTTCAACCAAAGACAAGTCGCCAGAATTCTGGAACATTCCAGAATTAAACCAGCAGCCAACCAGGTTGAGCTTCATGTGTATTTACAACAGCCTGAACTAGTAAAATTCTGTCTGGACAACGGTGTAGCCTTGGTCTCGTATTTTTCATTGGGAAATCCAGGAATTGCCAAATTCTTTGCCGCACATGGCTCCGGACAGTAAGCAATTGTAGTTTTCAAAATTTCAATAAACATTTCCCAAAAAAATTTTAGTTTAAAGTTCAAACAGTTTGGGCTTCTGGATAATCCAACCGTTCAACAAATAGCAGAAAAACATCGTAAAAGCACAGCACAGGTTTTGTTGAGATTTCTTGTTCAAAAGAATATCTCAGTGATTCCAAAAAGTATCAACCCCGATAGAATCAAGCAAAATATCGATCTGTTTGGTTTTAATCTGGACGAGGACGACGTAAAAGCTCTGGAAAGTCTGGATAAGGGTGAAGGAGTGAGGGATCTAGGCGAAGTATATTCACAGGCGTAAGTGAAGTTTGGAATAAACGATTTTTGATGTATTTTAAATATTTTATTTTATTTTCAGGGTCAGGGATCATCCAGAATACCCCTTCTAAAATGAGCGAAATTGATTTTTGTATTTTTTTTTCGTGTATATATTTTAATGTTTTATATTCAAAATAAAATTTGAGTTTGGTTCGTATTTTTTTTAATACGGTCCTGAAGGAGGTGAAAGAAGGGCTTTTTGAAAAAGAGATTCTAGGTGTCTATGTTTTGCTAAGTGCTTTAACATTTGAATTTTATAAAAATTAAAAAAAATACGGAAAGGGTAAAAACTAGGTTTGAAAAAGGTTTTTTTCTTAAAATGGTTCTTCTAGTATTTACTACATTTTTTGACACTTGTAACAAAAACGCCACCGTGCATACTTTTGGAGAACATTTTTTTTTCCAAATCTGACTTCAAGCTTCAAACTCACATCAATCTATGGAGGCGCAAAAAATCTATTATGCTTTAATAATCTAGTTGATAAAAATATGGAATTTTATGATAGTATCACAAATAATATTTGACAACAAGCTTTATAAGTTTAAAAAAATATAAATTTGAAATGAATTAATGTTCAGGTTTATTTTTCATTGATGCCCTTTAACGGAAAAACGAAGCACTTTTGTATAATTTTGTTTATTTTGATTAAAAAAAAAATATGTAGTTGTTCTATGTCTACGTAATATTGGACACCCTGTATAATTAAATAAATTTGTTATCAGGTTTTTTTATCAATTTTGCGTTTATCAATTAGCAACAACTAGCAACAAATAATAATTACCCAATTGTTGATAAAGTTTATAGGTACTTTATCTCAAAATTATTTCATACATTCGAGTCAATATCCTTCAACTGGGAGATAAGAAAAAATGCATACTCATAGCGGAATTATTAAATTTACACAACTTTACGTAATTTTGATATCAATTAATTTATTTATATGGAGTTCCTTTCCGGCTGGTCCTAAAATTATTAATCTTAGATTAAAGAAAGAATTTAAGCGATTTCCGAGTAGAAAGATATGCAAAAAATATAATAAAACCAGTAGCGGAGGGAACGAAAGAAAATATCAATAAAAAACCAACGTCTATATGAAAAATAAGGCTTAAATTTTTCATAAATTTAGTTGAAAAGTTCTTTTTTATTTATTTCCATGATATCGTACAAAAATACGTCAATATCAAAATATCTTAAAGAAATAATAATTCGAATAATTTAGAGACTATTATTCAATATAAACTTGTAACTTGCCACAGGCACTATACAGGGTGAATATTAAACAAGTGCAAATATTTTCAGGGCTGGTAGATCTCGATAAAAGAAACATATTTTCTCTTTACCGTTTTTCAAATAAGTCCAAAATAACCGAGTTATTTTTTTTTGAAAATTTAAAAAAAGTAGGTTTTTGGCTTAAATTTTGAAAACACTGGATCTTTTCTGGGTTTTCTTTCTTTGTAAATTTAATCCTATGTAAATACAGGGTGTCCCAGAAATAAGTGCAAGTATTTTAAGGAGTGGAAGATCTCGAGAAAAGAAACATATTTTCTCTGTATCGTTTTTCAAATAAGTCCAAAATAACGGAGTTATTTTATTTTGAAAATTTCCAAAAAAAAAATGATTTTTTGCTAAAATTTTGAGAACCACTGGATTTTTTCTGGAAAATTTAATCTACTACCTATGTTGCCATATTATTAAGAAATTATGCTATTTAATTAAAAACTAAAAAAATTCCAAAAAATTTCGAATTTTCAGAATTTTTTTTTCGCGAAGAAAACCTCATAGGCGTGTTTCTGGGGTTGAACTGTACTACCAGTTAAAATACGTGCACTTATTTCTTGGACACCTTGTATATACAACCCAACCTATGGTGCCTTCTTCTTCATGTACCGTCTCCATATCGGAGGTTGGCTATCATCATTGGAAGCTGCGGCCCTCAATAGGTCAGATGACGTGACATTAAACCATTTTCGCAGGTTTCTGAGCCAGGATATTCTTCTCCTTCCAACAGATCTTTTTCCTACAATTTTTCCCGGGATTATGAGTTGCAAAATCTCATACCTTGGACCTCTCATGATATGGCCGAGATATTGCAATTTTTTTTCACTTCCTTGAGGATTTCTACGCCCTTACTCGTTCTTCTCAGAACCTCCATGTTGGTTACATGTTCTGTCCATGGTATTCTCAACAACCTACGGTATGCCCACATCTCAGTTTCCGCTCGCAAAGCTCGTTTAGGGTCCAAGCTTCCATACCATACAAAAGGACTGGGAATACATAACATTTGAGCATACGAGTTCTGAGATCTAGGCTCAAATCGCGGCTACAGAGCAGCTTCTGGGGTGCCATATTAAGAAATTATGTTTTTTTAACTTTGATCAAGAAATAATAACTACCCTTATTCATTCGATACGATGAAGACCTCGAACTGTTATTGCGGCGCGAGGTGGACATACACACTATTAAAATTATTATAAAATTACTGTTTTGTCAATAAAAGAATCTCCGAAATCAATACTTTACTTTAAAATGTGTAGCTCATAAATGAATAGAGATAATGGGATAATTCAAAAAATGAAATATTAGGAATACATCTAAGATTGCAGGAAAGTATTTTTTAATCCAAAATGCTCGTTTCATTTTTTTCACAGGGTGTTTTAAATTTATTGCGAAAAATAACGTTTTGATTTTCCACGGTATAAACACACCTAACCGAAGAATATAAGCCATTAAAATAATAAAAAATAATGCCAATAAATTTATCTTCATACTGACACCATAAAAATAAAAATCGGATTACAAAATAAAAAGTTATGAAACATCAAAGTTAGTCAAATTTTTAGGGTGGCGGAAATTTGTGCAGAGGAGTATATTTTTAAAACAATCTTGAATTAATTATTTTTTTAAGAATGGAAAGAAAACATATCTAAACTATTCATGAGACTAGACTTATCTTTTTTTCTAAACCCCACAGAAGATATGTACCGCCACTGAAATCAGCAAGTAATTTTCCTAGTTTTATCGGTTATTATTTAAAAGGTACCTATATGTTCAATAAGCCAGTCAAGATATTCTAGATAGACTAGATAGTGTCTGCTTTATAGTTTTAAAAGAATTTTCTCTAAAATGTCAATACCAAAATTCGGAAAAAGCAATATACCAGCCGTCGGATATGGAACCTTTTCTGTAAGTCTTTTGTGTTTTTTTTTTTCGAAAAAAACTATAATTCTGAATTAAAACAATAACTAGAATTACATATATTTTTTTTCTATAGCAACTGTTAAAATTGCGTTATATCTATCAAAAATAGTAGATAAAATAGTACTATTATTTATATTTTTTACATATTTATTTTTAAAAAGACATCTTGTACAAAAAATAACTATTAATAATCCAAATAAACTACCTAAATATTTTGTTGAATTGTTGAATTTCATAAAAAGTTAATTTATTATAAATGATTTACAGATTGTTGACGAAGATGAAATGGAGAAAGCCCTAGACGCAGCTATTGAAGCTGGCTACAGACATTTAGACACAGCTACCATCTATGACAACGAGCATCTCATAGGAAAAGTTCTGAAAAAATGGTTTGATTCGGGAAAACTTCGCAGAGAAGAAATATTCATCACGACAAAATTGCCAACACACGGTGTCCATCCTGATAGGTAAAATCACAGCCTTTTGATTAAACAACCAGTCGATTTACCATCATTTATATGAAATTCTGCGTACCTACTTATACAAACTATTGAGACTGGTTCAAGTCTACTGGTTGTCTAATGAATATATAGGCTGTGGGTAAAGTTATTCTTAGAATATTAAAAGAATATTCTTCTTATTAATATTTTGTTTTCTCATTTTAGAGTAGAAAAATTCTTAAACGAATCATTGGAAAAGTTGCAAGTTAACTATGTTGATTTATATTTGATTCATTTTCCTGTTACGACTAAAGAGAGGCTAGATGTGGTTCCTCTTGAGGTTGAACCAACCGATCTTATAGCAGTTTGGAAGGTAAGAATATTTTTAAGTTTTTAAAATTCTAGAACAAGATATACTACATATTTTGATCTTTACTGTATATGATGTTGTTTCGTATATTGACTTTATGTTATTATGTATTGAGTGATATTTTTTGCCTTTTACAGAAACTGGAAGAACAAGTTGACTTAGGACGCGTCAGGAGTATCGGCTTGTCAAATTTCAATCAGAAGCAGGTTGCCAAAATCGTGGACAATTCCAGAATAAAACCTGCAGCTAACGAGGTGGAAATTCACGTTTATATGCAGCAACCGGAACTCGTGAAGTTCTGTCAAGACAATGGCGTGGTGGTTATATCGTACTTTTCATTAGGAAATCCAGGAATCAACAAGTTTTTTGCCGAGCACGGTGCACCATTGTGAGTATAAAATGATTTGACGAAGATTTGACTTTACAACAGTAACGATTTACAGCAATTTTAATATAAAAATAATGCCATTATATTTATTATTTTTGTAATATCACTGGAATTGAAAATATCACCAGCATTGCTGAAAAAATATCATAATTGAACTTCAAATTACATGAAAAATCTTTGTTTTTAATACCATAAACAAATAACAACTTTTTAGTTTAAAATTCAAACTAATTGGACTTCTGGAAAACCCCATCGTTGAAAAAATCGCCAAAAAACACCACAAAACAGTGGCACAAATCCTACTCAAATTCCTGGTTCAAAAAAATATCGCTGTCATTCCTAAGAGCGTCACACCCAGTAGAATCAAGCAGAACATCGATTTGTTCGATTTTACTCTGGACCAGACCGAAATAAAAGAACTGGAAAGTTTGGATAAAGGAGAAGGAGTCAGAGACCACAGCATCATATTCTCCAAAGAGTAAGTCTAGACAAAAAAAGTTTATTTTTTTATAAAATTGTTGTTTTTTAGGTTTATAGAACATCCAGAGTATCCATTTCCCAGAGAGTAAATATACTAAAGCATCAGATTTCAGAAAATAATTACTTGGAATAAGGAATGTGTAATTTGTATATTTTTTTTTGTAAAATTATAAATAAAGATAAGTTAAAAAAAGTTCTATTTTTTTTATTTATTCACCATAAACCGTTGCCTGGACCAAATTTGTTTAAATTGGATTTAACATATACATTACTTTCTTTATTCTAGATGTAATCACTATTTATTAAACGTAACTTTTATTAAGCTCTTCCCAATGGCCTTGTAAGGAACAGGGCTCCATACAAGGCCAATATTATAAATCAGTCGTTCAAATTAAAACTAGAGTTGTAATAATCAAAATATATCCGCTTTTACTAAAACTACATAAAACGCTCTTTGATTTAAACGAAAAATTAAATGCTTAACGTATTATAACCTTCTTTAAAAAACTCAACGAACGTTCCTTGAACACAATAATATAACTAAGAATGTATAAATGGAAATTATTTAAAAATTTTAGTAATGAGTATTATATCGATAACAAATAAGTTGCCAATGAGTTTTAGAATGAAATTACAAAAATCAAAAATTACCTATAATGGCCTTCTTATGGGTTTGTTTTTTGTAAGGCCAAAATGTTTTTTAGCTAAAAAGTTGAATAACCCTTATAAATAATAATATTTTAAACATAAAACATTGTTTCAATTTTCCCGCTTCATATTTTCATGATTTGTAAATGTTCCTAAGGCCCATGTACTCTAGCAAGGCCAACCGTCAAATTTTCGATTGGCCTTATAAGGAACCACTGGCTTTCACGAGAACACTACCGACATTTTAACTGAAATCAAAGTAAAACTATTATATTTTTCTTTATTACCATAACAAATTCTTATGTGACAATCTACAGCAAAAAAAATAAGAAAATAATAGGTTATTTACATAAAAACTTACCCTTTCCTGTGCGCGCGAATTACAATTTTAACATCGACGACCGAAGACTACGAAGCGAGGGACCGGATTAAAAAAATAGGCGTCTGTGTCCTTAAGTTTAATGGAGATTAGGGTGAGTGCAAGGAATTTGTCATAACTATGACTTTTTTATAGTTGGCCTTCAAAGGATCATGGCCTTCCTTGGTCCAGGCACCTCATATTGAAATACCGGGTGCGTCCCAAAAGTGGCTCACCCCCTATAACTTTTTTATTTTTTCAGATAAAAACACGAGATTTGGTATGTTAGTATATGACATAAATTAGGATTGATTGACGTATTCAATTGTTTTTGGTCACTTCCTGTTTCACCGGAAATGACTACAACTTTTGATTTTTAAATGGCACCCTCGGGATTTTTATACTTTATTCGATAGAAAATTGTATTCTGAATAGAATGACATACCATATGTCAACTTTTGATATTCTCGCTTAATAAAAACTACTTAATGACACTAATTCTTAATCAAGGAACCTTAGAAAAACGGTTAGAAAATTCTCAAATCATATTTTTAATCAAATCTCAATTTTTTCAAATGGAACGAGGGTAGCTCATTAGCATATTTGGAAAAAGCTTTTTTTTACGAATAATTTGATACCACACCCTTGGTATTTCGAGTTTTTTTTACGAACCGCAAGTTATAATTTCAAATAAACCAATAAGACTGCTTAAAAAAAAACAAGCGATGACACATGACGAAATAATAGATATAAACCCATCCATAGTCAACTTAAAGTAAATTAGAATTTTTTTTTAGTAAAATAAACGGATTGGTATGGACGTCATCTTCTTTTTTTCTATCATCGTTTGTTGAAATCTTCCTTGAACCTATTTTATCAGTAATAATACAGATAAAATTAAAGCAGTATTTCATAATATGTTGCACGAACTCCACTTGAGACATACTAGTCAATAAAAAAAAATGTGTTTATTATTTGGCCGCAGGCTATATCATTATATCTATATTAGCGTTCGTCAAATAACTACAGGTATATTGAATTTAAAAAAACATAAGTATAAAATCATCACGAATAGTTTTAAAAATATCTTTTTACTGTGAGATTGTGACCATGGCAGGGCAAATAACGTTTGATTTAGCTGGTAAATATAAAATACCAGCGGTAGGATTTGGAACTTTTGCAGTAAGTTAAAATGCTATATTATAAAAAAATAATTTATACTATTATTCGAGCAAAACATTCAATTAATTGAAATTACTCTTGAAATAGTTGAATTTTTGTATCAGTTAGTGTTAAATGACTGAAGAATGGAAGATTTGGTTTTCTTTATAAAATATTTGGTTTGAAATGTTAATTTTTTGATATTTTTTTTTCATTTTTTAGGCTACAGATGAAAAAGAATTGGAAGCTGCGTTAGATGCAGCTTTCGAAGCTGGTTATAGACATGTAGACACAGCTACAATTTATGGCAACGAACATATCATAGGAAACGTCTTGAAGAAATGGTTTGATTCAGGAAAATTATCCCGAAAAGACGTTTTTATCACCACGAAGTTGCCCCCAGATGGGGTACACCCAGACAGGTAAATGTCTATTATAATTTTAGAAAGATTATCTGTAACCAATTGGAACCAACCAGAACATTTCAATTGAACAATTCATCAGTCCTTATATTTTTTTGGTTTCTGATATTTGATTGTATTAATCAATTTTCTACCGAAAATATACAATTTTAGGGTTGAGAAATTTCTGTTAGAATCTTTGAAAAAACTACAGTTAGACTATGTAGACCTGTACCTGATACATTTACCCATTTGTACATCGGGCTTTTTAGCTCATGGGCCAGAATCAGCCAAACCTGAGCCAACAGATCATGTGGCTACTTGGAAGGTAAGCCAACGAAACCTTATTTTTCTTTTTACTAAGACCAAAGAGAAAATTCACTCTTCCTAGAGAATTTTAATACCAGAATGTAGGGATTTTATAACCTAGACTGGGGAAAATGAACATCAGAAGTAAGAAAAAATATTTTTCTTTGTTTGCAGCTGTTGCCAAAGTTCTACTTTCCAGTGATCTTAAAACTTAAATCACGATTTTAGCTCAAACATTATAATGAAATAACTAAGTATTTTTAAACCTTCTAGAAACTAGAAGAACAAGTGGATCTGGGTAGAGCAAAATCCATTGGAGTTTCAAATTTTAATATCAGTCAAGTCAAGAGAATTCTGGATAATGCAAGAATCAAACCGGCAGCCAATCAGGTTGAATTGCACGTTTTTTTGCAACAACCTGAACTGGTGAAGTTTTTAAAACAGAATGGGATTTTGCCCATTTCTTATTCTACCTTGAGCAATCCAGGAATCAACAAGTACTATGAGAAGGTTGGTAGACCGTAAGTAATTCGATTTTTTTTTAATGGAAGATTACCAATTACTAGTTTCTGATATGTTTTTTTATATGGAGAGTAGAGATAATAGTCATATAAGGACACGAAGAGACCCAAGTCTCGTCAAACTTTACTTTTTAGACGGATTGTGTACCTTTTGAGTAGTAGTTTTAAGGGAAAAATTGTAACAGCGTGCTCGGCCAGTTTTGACAGAAAAAATGGCCCTAAATGGCCGAAAAATCATTTTTTTTGCAAATATCTGCCTAAATATACAATTTACAAAATTTTTCTTGAAATAAAAATTGAAGCTTAGGTCATTGTCTACAAAAAAGATCCTGACACATTTTTTGTAAAATCACAGAAAAACGATTAAAAACAGCTCTAAAAGGTCAAAGAACGGTTTTTCGCCAATATTGGTCGAAATATTGCATGTAATTGATTTTCATTATCGCTTAGTGGAAGATTGGGTCCTTAGCTAAAAAAAATGATCCTGACACTATTTTTCGTAGTTTTCCGTAAAAAGAAACCAATTCGACTATTCGTAATTATACAATTTTCTTTTTTTTACGATACTTTCCGGAAATCCCCAAAAAAGAACGGAAAAAGCCACTAACGAATAGTTGTTTTTTTATTAAAATATGATTAAAAAACACTTCGAGTTGCTTAAAAAGACTCTGTTATAAAAAAATAAGCTATTATTAGTGAAAATATGAATAAGTGAGTAAAAATCTGAAAATTTTTGGGCCCAAGGAATGTTTTTTATTATCATAAAATATGACAAAATTCAAACAAGTTCCAAAATATAATAACTGTTGATTCTACCCCTTAAATAAACTTTGAATAATCAAAAAATATTAAATTTTAGCGAGTTACTAAACACTTTGTTCTATCAATCAACGATAACCTTATGAAATCTATCTTCGTAGCGTTAAAACTTGGAGAGAAAATATACAGGGATCTTCGATGCGGAATATCTCGAAAACTACTAATTCTATGGAAAAAATGATAAGAACCATTTTTGTAGGTAATTGTCTAAGCTTTATTTTTTATTGGAAGAAAATTTTTGTAAATTGCATATTTTGGCAGATATTTGCGAAAAAACTAATTTTAGGCTTTTTTGGGGCCATTTTTTCGCTCAAAGGTTGGCCGAACACAAAACAAAAAATTGTTTTATTAAATTTATAAGTAGTTGATGATGGTTAATGCTGACTGATGATGTTTCAGACTTCGAAAGAATGCTCCAGACCTCCTGGGCAACGCAACAGTAAAATCCATTGCCGAAAAACACCACAAAACAGCTGGACAAATATTGCTGAAGTACTGGATCCAGAATAATGTTCCGATCATTCCAAAAAGCGTCACTCCAAGCAGAATTAAGGAAAATATCGACTTGTTTGACTTTTCTCTGGACGAAAATGATCTAAAAGCTTTGGAAAGTTTGGATTTGGGTGAAGCAGCAAGGACGGCCACTTTTCTATTGAGTAAAGAGTTAGTTTCTTGGCTCAATTTTTTGAAGGTTTTTTTATTTATTCTGTTCTTTGTTGCAGATTTATTGAGCATCCAGAATATCCTTTTCCAAAAAGGCCATTACCATAAGTTAATATAAGAATCACATATCACACGAAGTATTGTAAATATAAGTTCATATTAAATAAACTTTTGGTCACGTGATTAAGCTTGACGGGCACAGTGTTGCCCATTTTTACATATTTTCTTTTAATCATAATATTTCAGAAAACAAAAATAAATTAATTATAAATATATAAACGGTTATTATTTACATCAACAAAACTCACCTTCTTAATGGCACTTAAGGGACATAAAGGGCCATTACTACCGCTTTCCCGTTCAAAATATTCTAATAAAGTTGCGATGAGTTTTTTACGGCTATTAAGCTATCTTATACCACTTCGTACTAAAAGAGGTTCTAAAAAGAACAAAGTTCGACTGCAAGGTCTGCTAGTACAACATTTTTAAGTTTAAAGGATATCAGAACACAAATGTTAATATAAAAAAAAACTTTAAGTAATAAGAATGGATATAATTCAAATATTAGTAAATATTTCATAATGAGTTAATCGAAAATGGCACTTGAAGAATACGATAAAATTTATTAAAAATTGTGTTTACCTACTATTTTGCCAACTCATGATGTATGTATTTAAAAATTAACACTATACAATTATAAGTGTTTATAAACGTTATCATTATGTCTATAATAGCGTGCTTTCGATATCTCTGGGTATATTCAAGTTAAATACAGCGGTATAACTATCATCGTGAATAGTTTTACTTGTGTGTGTTTAAGTAATAAGTTGTTATTGCAATTGCGACCATGGCAGTTCAAACATTTGATTTACTTGGCAAATTTAAAATCCCATCAGTTGGATTTGGAACTTTCACTGTAAGTTTTTTTCTGAAACAATTACTTTGTCTAAAATATTAATTTTTTGATATTTTCCTTCAATATATAGGCTACAGATGAAAAAGAATTAGAAGCAGCTTTAGATGCAGCTTTCGAAGCTGGTTATAGACATGTAGACACTGCTACAGTTTATAGAAATGAACACATCATAGGAAACGTGTTGAAGAAATGGTTTGATTCAGGGAAATTGTCCAGAAAGGACATATTTATTACCACAAAGTTACCTACAGATGGAGTACATCCAGACAGGTAGATATCTGTTATAATTTTGGAAATATTCTTCTTCTTCTTCTTCTAGTGCAGATCCATTAATGGATGTTTGCGATAACATTTTCCATTGCTTCTCTGTTCCGGGCGGTGTGTATTAACGACCGAACATCGAGTAGCCCTGTCCACTATCTAATATTCCTCAGCCAAGACATTTTCTTAATTCCGATACCCCTCCGGCCATCGATCTTGCCTTCGATCAACAAATGCAAGAACTGATATTTGGGGTTTCGCATTATGTGGCCCAGGTATGCGGTCTTTTTCTTTTTAATCAATTCAAATAATTCACGCTTTTTGTCAACGCGTCTGAGAACTTCCTCATTTGTCAATCTAGCCGTCCAAGGTATCTTCAGGATTCTGCGATATAGCCACATCTCAAAAGCCTCCAATTTGTTGAGGGTAGCTGCTTTCAATGTCCAACCTTCCATACCATAAAGGAGCACCGACCATACATAACACTTTACGAATCTTAATCTAAGGCTAAGGTCAAAATCAGAACAGACAAGTACTTTTCGAAACCTCGAGAATGCCTGCCGAGCTTGTTCGATGCGACATTTAATTTCCTTGTCTGATGTCCAATCTTCGGAGAGCCAGATGCCCAAGTACTTAAATTTATCTACTCTTTCTATGGGCCTTGAGTTAAATGTTAGGATGGAGTTTTCTTGATGTTGATGTTTAAACCCATTGCTTTGCTCTGTTCTCCTGATGTTGATGTTTAAACCCATTGCTTTGTTCTGTTCTCCTACCTTGTTGACCAGTTGTTGTATATCGTGTATATTGTCTGCAATTAAGACCGTATCGTCGGAATAGCGGATATTATTAATCCACACTCCATTAACTTTGACCCCCCCATTTCCACGTCCTCCAGAGCCTCTTGGAAAATAGCTTCTGAGTATAAATTAAATAGGAGTGGAGACAACACGCAACCCTGTATGGGATTAGACATAGTATTGGACAATTTTATTCGTGCTGTTTGGTTCCAGTATAACTTCTCAATGCATTGGATGTCTTTATGATCTATATCAAGTCGTTTGAGGAGCTGCATTAATTTGTGGTGCTGTACGCGATCGAATGCCTTTTCGTAGTCTATGAAACACAGGCACACATCCTTTCTCTGATCGTAGCACTTCTGGACAAGCACCTGTGTTGCAACTATCGCTTCCCTGGTGCCTAACCTTCGTCTGAACCCCATTTGCGAATCGCTTATGTCCCTTTCACATTTTTTGTAAATTCTCTGGTGTATTATTTTCAGAAATATTTTTAGGGTATGGCTCATCAGGCTGATAAGTCTGTGATCTTCACACTTTCTGGCATTGGTCTTCTTAGGCAGGGGTATAAAAGTAGAACTTGGGAATATTATTGTACCAAACTGTATTAGCACGATGGATTTTTGAAACTTATGTGTTCTGATTGTTAAACATATTAAAAAGAAACTATATTCTATGTTGTTGATAATATTAATACTAGTCCAAAAATCTGCATGAAGAAATTTCTATACAAATTCCAAAACGAACTAAAGGTTATAGTTAAAGTTTTAGACAAATTGGATTTAATTATCTAATCATAAATTTTCTCCTATAATCCCTTATATGTTTATTTTCTTACTAAGTTAGTAAAGCAGTGCATTATAAACTTTAGAATTACTACAATTAGTTATGCCTTTTAATAGAAATATGTCTCACTAGACATCAACTGAACCATTTAGTTCTTACAGTTTTTTATCGTTTCTGCTATTTGATTGTATTTATCAATTTTATACCGACAATATACAATTTTAGGGCTGAAAAATTTCTGCTAGAGTCTTTGGAAAAACTACAACTCGATTATGTAGACTTGTACTTGATACATCTACCGATTTGTACATCTGGTAGCTTATCTGGCCCTGGTGGATCTAAACCTGAGCCTACAGATCTTGTAGCAACTTGGAAAGTAAGTCTATAAAACTTTCTTTTTCTATCTCACACTCTTTCTGGATAATTTTTATACCAAAAAGAACTTTTTTTTTCTAACTAGACAAAAAAATGGACATCAAAAGTCTGAAAAACTTTTTTATCGGTTTGAAGATCTTGCCAAAAAACTACTACTTTCTTAAGATTTTACATTCTAACTCAAACAAGATAAGATAAATGAATATTTTTAAACTTTATAGAAACTAGAAGAACAAGTTGATCTGGGCAGAGCTAAAGCTATTGGAGTCTCCAATTTTAATATTAGTCAAGTCCAGAGAATTTTGGATAATGCCAGAATAAAACCAGCTGCAAATCAAGTTGAATTGCATGTATTTTTGCAACAACCTGAATTGGTAAAGTTTTTACAACAAAATGGAGTTTTGCCTATTTCGTATTCGACTTTGGGTAATCCAGGAATCAACAAGTTTTTGGAAAAAGTTGGAAGACCGTAAGTATTTGCTTAATTTTACCAACAACTAATATATTTTTTAAAGTAATTTGATTATCAATTAAAACTAAAACCCAATGAAAATTCTATAAAATAAATAGTCATAAAGCCAGTAAAAATATTTAAAAAATGAAAAGTAAAAAATAAATAAATAGATTGTAGTAAACTGATGATGAATGATAATCTTCCAGGCTTCGAACCAATGCTCCAGATCTTCTGGGCAATACCACAGTAAAAACCATTGCCGAAAAACATCACAAAACCTCTGGACAAATATTATTGAAATACTGGGTTCAGAAAAAGGTAGCTGTCATCCCAAAAAGCGTCACTCCAAGCAGAATCAAGGAAAATATCGGCTTGTTTGATTTTTCTCTGGACGAAAATGATTTAAAATCTTTGGAAAGTCTGGATTTGGGAGAAGAAGGCAGACAAGCCACTATGTCATTCAGTAAAGAGTGAGTTTAGATCTCTAATTTTTTAATGTGATAATTATTTTAACATTTTTTTATTGTTGCAGATTTGTAGAACATCCAGAATACCCATTTCCAAGAAGACCATTGTAATTATAAATTAGGATAAGAAACTAACAACAATATCAATTAAGTACCTTTTTTAAAAAATAAAGTATTTAAGTATTATTTTTTTTACTTTCAATGAAAACCAGTCCTGTCATTAGAAAATGATATCTATCGTTAACAGTTATTTGTTACAAAATGTCTATACGTTTCGGAAAGTTTATCTCTTTCATATTCGAGAAAACTTTAGTTTTTTAAAACAGATACATCTACAAAAACCGTTGACGTTCTGTTAAAATGACATTATATCAAGTTAAACTTCAAAATTAACAATTAACTACCTGATAACAATTACTTAATAAGGTAAAACCAAAAAGCATAAAACTTTCTATAAGATATATTTTTAATTTGTTTTTAATTTTTACTTATGCTATGTTTATTTATGTTATGTTTTTTAAAATCAAAGAAGCGATTTCCATACATTACTAACATCTACAAATGCATGAGCAATATATTTATTTTTATTAGATTGTATTAAAAAGGCCTCATTTATTTTTATTTTAGAGGCTATCGCTTCTTTCATTATAATTTTGGCGTTTTTAAAATCTATTCTGTGCCCTGTGTCCCATGAATGCTAGTCGCCCTTTCTTGAATAATCTTTATGTTCTTTAATTCGTACATTTAACGATCTAGATGTTTCACCAATATAAAATTTATCGCTATTTTGTATATTACGTTTTTTGGTTGTTGTTCAGTATTCATTGGTTTAGTGTGTAATTTTTAATATTATGATCTTTACAGTCTTGCAATGTGGCAGAAATTCAGCAGCAAGAGGATCATCGAAACCAGTGAAATTTTGAAAGACGTCTACGAAAACAAATTGTTGGGAACATCTGCTATAGATGATCGAACTAAATGTTAATATAAAAAAAAAACGTTAAATAATAAGAATGGATATAATTCAAATATTAGTAAATATTTTATAATGAGTTAATCAAAATGCCACTTGAACAATACGATAAAATTTATTAAAAATTGTGTTTACCTACTATTTAGTTTCATATAAAAATTGAAACTACATATCAACCTTTACATTTAAAAGTGTTTATAAACGTTATCATTATGTCTATAATAAGCTCCCGATATCTCTGGGTGTATTCAAGTTAATACAGCGATATATATTGTGAATAATTTTACTTGTGTGTGTTTTAGTAATAAGTTGTTATTGGCGATCGTAACCATGGCAGTTCAAACATTTGAATTACTTGGCAAATTTAAAATACCGGCAGTTGGATTTGGAACTTTCACAGTTAGTATTTTATTTTGTAACAATTACTTTATCTAAAATATAAATTTTTTGATATTTTCTTGCAATTTCCAGGCTACAGATGAAAAAGAACTAGAAGCTGCGTTAGATGCAGCTTTCGAAGCTGGTTATAGACATATAGACACAGCCACGATTTATGCAAATGAACATATCATTGGAAAGGTCTTGCAAAAATGGTTTCATTCAGGAAAATTATCCAGGAAGGACATATTTATCACCACAAAGTTGCCCCCAAATGGGGTACATCCCGACAGGTAGATATCTATTATATTTTGAAACATATTATGTTTCGAATCTGTACCAAATTGTACCAGCACGATGGATTTTTGAAATGTGTGCATGCTCAGGGCCGCGCCAACACCTGACAGCGCCTGTGTGCAAAACCTTTTTTTTAGATATAATATTTTCCTAAATAGGTAAAAACGGTTCGCTTCCGTTTGTCAATTACTACCATTTATAGTATGGCCATCGTGTTCATAATCAACTCTCTTTGGATCAGGAAGTTTAAAATTCAGCTTCGACCTCTAATTTTTCGGCAAAATTTTTGTCAATTCTAATTTCTGTCAAAAACTTCTTACATATTCATATAGATCGACCGTTGACTTGTTTTGACAAAATTTGCAAAATTTACTTTTGTCAATAATACAAGCCACGCCTAGATTTAGTGAACAAATAAATGAAAAAGTACATTTTTTTTCTACTAGACATTTAGCAGCAAAATAAATGACTAATTCATCAAAAAACATACATTTTATATTTGCACTGGATGCGCGTTTCGCTAATCATGTTAGCATCATCAGCAGATGATTAAATCTGACGCGTACAGTGCAAAAGTGGAGTGTTTTGGTGTAATGGGGTGAATTAGTGTTTCATTTCGCTGTTGTAACACCAATGGCTGTAACCCCCAACAATAATAAACATTGAGCGTCATAGTTTCATTCTGTTTGAATGGTGTACATACCATTATATATAGAAAGCGTGAGATTTAGATCCAGTTAGTGTTTAGACCCACGTTAATTTTGTCTAGTTCTTCTACGAGTATTATAAATAAAGTTAAGCCAGCGCCATTTGTATATTGTAGATAATCGTACAGAACTCTAGAAAATGCTTTCCTATTTTAAACTTTTTACCATCTGTGTTAAAATTGACAAATCTTATAATGTTACAAATTTGCTCTAGGTACGTGTGCAACACCATGCAGGAGTATAACTTAGTATTATTGAAAAATATTTAATAATTCGACATAATATATTGGAAATAAAATCTTGAATTTGGTTACTAAGTAAAGAAATGATTTAGTTTTGGATTTTAGTAGTTAGTTTTGGAAAATTAAATGGCGCTGGCATTTCACCCGGCGCTGCGCCCCTATTTCTGCCTTCGGGTCCTTCTTTTCAAAGGAAAAACTTCAACAGCTTCAGAGAATTAGGGAAAGTCATACCAAGTATTTCTCCAATGGCTCTCCAAATAAAAGTAATTTTTTTTAGGTGAAATGACGCGAACAGAGGATCAAGCAACCTCTGAAAAACTAGACGATAGCAAGCTTAGTGTTTTTTTGATTAATATTCAGTCCTTAAGACATAAAACGGATGAATTATATCTTTTATTAGAAGAGCTCAATTTTCCAGAAATTGTTGCCATAACTAAACATTGGTTAAATATGGATGAGCCTGTATTTGTCAAAAATTACACTACAGTAACTAGATTCAATAGAAGTAACTCATCTCATGGAGGTACTATGATAATGTCTACTAACAACAACTTTACGGCAGTAACTAAGTTCGATACTCTAATATCCGAAAAAATTTTTGAATTTTCCGTCGGTTATCATAGTGCTTTTGACTTTTATAATATTTGTATTTACAGAACACCTGACGCTGACGTGCATATTTTCAGTCAAAAATTGCTAAGCTTGCTTGAATCCCTACCTATAAAAAGTAAATTAATTTTGTGTGGCGACCTAAATATTGACTTTTTCCAGTGTGTGTGCAGCTAGGGAGTCTCTCCAGTTCATTTTTCATTCTTTTGGTATACTCATGCATGTTGACTCACCAACTAGAATAACTAAATTGGCTCTAGTACTATAGATTATGTCGTGTCGTCTTTTGACCCGGAATTCGTTGACTGTAGAGTCCTTCACTCAGGTTTCTCTGATCATGAGGCAGTATTGACAACGTTTTTGCCACAATCCAAATGCAAAAATACCTCGCGCAAATTGGGCCGTATTTTTTCGGATAAAATTTTTCTAAATTTTTATCAAAAACACGATGTTTAGTTAGTTAGTTATGAGTTACGGGGTTTCAAAAATGTGCATTTTTAACAAATTGCTGTAGCTTTTTTGTTATTGAAAATTTTGTATGTTTGTGAAAACATTTCCAAAGCGCCTTTTTACGTAGAATATATATGTGAATATATATTTTTTAAATTAATAATTTAAGAGTTATAAACAGAAAAATTGATTGAACATACTGTATTTATGAATTTTATACGGAAAATATACAATTTTAGGGCTGAAAAATTTCTGTTAGAGTCTTTGGAAAAACTACAGCTAGACTACGTAGACTTATACTTGATACATTTTCCCATTTGTACGTCAGCAAGTTTATTGCAAAGCGGAGCCAAACCTGAGCATACAGATCTTGTAGCAACTTGGAAAGTAAGTCACAAAAACCTTCTTGTTCTTCCTTCATTCAGTTATTAGTAGTAAAGCAAAAAAATCACTATTTCTGGATTATTTTTAAACCAAAAAGTAAGGGTTTTTACAAAATAGAGTAAAAAATATGCATCATCAAGTCCTCTAACTTAAGTTAACTATTTAAATTCAAACAAGATAATGAATATTTTTAAACCTTATAGAAACTAGAAGAACAAGTTGATCTGGGCAGAGCCAAAGCTATTGGTGTTTCTAATTTTAATATTAATCAAGTGCAGAGAATTTTGGATAATGCAAGAATAAAACCAGCGGCGAATCAAATTGAACTACACATCTTTTTTCAACAACCTGAATTGGTGAATTTTTTGCAACAAAATAGAGTTTTGCCTATTTCCTATTCAACCTTGGGTAATCCAGGAATCAACAAGTTTTTAGAAAAAGTTGGAAGGCCGTGAGTATTTGTTTAATTCTACCAGTTTAATTTGATTATCAACTTAAACTAAAACCAATCACACTATCATTTTTATTTGCTTATATCAGACAAAAATTTAGAAATAAACCAAAAATTATGTTTTTTCTGTTCTCCTTTAGAATGCAGTTAGCAAATACCGTAGTATAGATAAATTTGGTAAAGATAGAGTCGATAAAAAACATATAGAGAAGATAAAAAGAAGTAAATATATAAAAAAATCAAAAATGAATAAATAAATAAATTAATCATAAATGATGATCTTTCAGGCTTCGAACCAATGCCCTAGATCTTCTAGGCAACGCCACAGTAAAAACCATTGCCGAAAAACATGACAAAACCTCTGGACAAATATTACTGAAATACTGGGTCCAGAAAAAGGTAGCTGTTATTCCAAAAAGCGTCACTCCAAGCAGAATTAAGGAGAATATCGATCTGTTTGATTTTTCCCTGGATGAAAATGATTTAAAAAGTTTGGAAAGTTTGAACTTGGGCGAGGAGGGTAGACAAGCCATTATGTCATTCTCCAAAGAGTGAGTTTAGATTTTTTATTTTTTTCTATTTTAACTTAACTATTTTAATTTTTTTTAATTGTTGCAGGTTTTTAGACCATCCAGAGTACCCATTTCCAAGAAGACCCCTGTAATCATAAATTAGAATAAGAAACTAACATCAATATCTAAAGAACTTTTTTAAAAAAATAAAGTATTTAAACATTATTTTTTTACTTTGAATGAAAACCAGACCTATCATTAGAAAATTACACCTATCGTAAACCAGTTATTTGTTACTAAATAACAGATATAACAGATTTATAACGAGGTAAAAAAAAACATGATATATACAGGGTGGCCCATCGAAAATGTTCCGCAAGGCATAACGGCCAGGGTATTTATTTTTTCAAAAAATCCAAAAACACGTCAATTTTGTTTGTGAGGGGGACAACTTTTGCCCCAAAAATGATTGCAAAATATTCAACCCTCTAAGCGGGGGTGTCATCCCCCAACTTTTTTCAAATGGAAAGGGGGGTCAAGTGGCACCGCAATAAAAAGAGCTTTCTATTCTCTATATTTCCCCGCTTCGTTTTTGAAAATCGGTCGAGTCATTGAGAAAATATGAAGGATTGAAATTTGAAAAGTTTATTTAAGCATTTATCACAGTAAATGATAATTAAGGGTAAATTCGACCAATTTGCTGTTTTTTCTTATCATTTCTAGATGTTTACGCATTTTTTCACTTGCCACAACGTTGAACGAATAGGCACAAAATATACACCATACAGAAGCGACAAAGAGATTTGCTTCAAAATTTTTAGGAGGGGGTAATGCTGGTTAACTGTATATTCACGACCACAGATATAATTATTTCTAGATATTATGCATAAAAGACTAAAAAATATATTTCATAATTATTTATTTATTTTTAATTCTAAATAAAAATACTGATTTAAATCCCTCTAGTTTTTAAAAATTAAATAAACCTGCCTTTCATCATTTTCTATTAAAATCTAACAATTTTCTTTCAGTGTGAAATGCTGTTCAAGGCGCACGGATGTCAAACGTGACGTCACGCAATTAGTTCCCATTTGACCAATGCTATTAAAAGCTCTTTGTCGCTTCTGTATGGTGTATATTCTGTGGAATAGGTGCGGTAGTTGCTAGATAGCTGTTCTGTGACTTGTACGTTGAAGTTCTTCTCAATATCGTTAAATTGACCCACAATAGAATTTCCAAAAATACCAGCCGACACGTTTAATTTCTGAGGGTTTTGCACCTCGTGAAAAACCCTGGGATTGTCCTCAGCCCAGTACCGACAGTTGTGCCGATTAATTACATTGTTCAAAAAGAAAGTACACTCATCCGAAAAACACACATTAAATAGGAAATTATTATCATTCGCCACTCGTTCACTCATAGTTTCACAAAATTGCAAGCAACGATCAAAATCGTATTGTACCGAGTTCTTGTACAAACTGAATTTTCTACGGCTGGAACTTGAGTTTTTTTAATATCCTTTGGAAACTTGTACGATTCCCGCCGGTCTCATTGGCTAATTTTCTTGTACTGAGAATACTGTCCATGGCAACTTGGCCCAATACGAATACCTCCATAGCTTCATTTACTACAGGATTTTTCCTCTGCTTTTCTTTTTATTCATAACGGAATCAGTTTCGCGAAATTTTGCTACTAACTGCCGAACAATTTTGCCATAAAGGTGTTTGTCAGGATGGCGTTCATATCTGCGCAACCCGATTGTAAACATCTAGAAATAATAAGAAAAAACAGCAAATTGGTCGAAGGAATTTATCCTTATCATTTACTCTGATAAATGTTTAAATCAACTTTTCAAATTTCAATCCTTCATATTTTCTCAATGGCTCGACCGATTTTCAAAAACGAAGCGGGAAAGTATAGAGAATAGAAAAAGCCCTTTTCAATGCGGTACCACTTGACCCCCCTTCCCATTTGAAAAAAATTGGGGAATGACACCCCCGCTTAGAGGGTTGAAGATTTTGCAATCATTTTTGGGGCAAAAGTTGTCCCCCTCACAAACAAAATTGACGTGTTTTTGAATTTTCTGAAAAAAAAACCTGAATTACCCTGGCCGTTATGCCTTGTGGAACGTTTTCGATGGGCCACCCTGTATAGTCACTTTGATATTTGCCGACGTTTCGTACAGAAAATTCCATTACCAGAATATTTTAGGCAAAAAAAATAAATAAAAAATAAAAAAGCAATACGGCATTTTATTGACAATCAAATTGCGCAACTTTGCCTCCATTTAACCGATCCTGTATCTCTTACGGTTTCCGAAATCCCAATGATGAGCGTCGAATTCGAGCCACCCTGTACATTAACATCTCATATGTAAATAAAAATTATGATTTATCAGACTGATCAATTTTTGAGCACACACGTAGCCTAATAATAAATTGCACAATACCTCCAATTCTACTCAAGATAATATTCTAGAACAAAATAACGGACAAATAAATAGCTACTTAAGTATGTATATTACCAAATATTACTCATCAAACAACTTAAAAAAAAGTCTGTCATCCTTGATACTTCTAGTATGCTACGAACGTGAATAACATAACAGTGACGAGCCACAATTCAGCTCTACTCATCTGCTACATTTTTCTCATACATTCTTTGAAAAAAGATAGAAAATAATGATGTTCTAGATATTTCAGGTTTTATTTGTAGTATATAAACAAATTAAATTTTTGACTGGATTTCAGTGAACGATCAGATCTTGTTTACATACTATATAAACGGTTTATAAAAAATTGTAAAATATATCTAATTGTGTATTAAGATGTCTGCACCAACGAAATTGTTAAATGGTACTTTTAAAATTCCTGTTGTTGGACTTGGTACAGGAGGCGCAGGACATGAGGTAAACTGTTGTATTTGATTTTTTTATTTTTTTGTTTGATTTTGTTTTAATTTCAATTTTTATTTAAATTTTAAATCTTAATTCCCGTTATAGTGGATTGCCCAGAGATTTTTACCTCGTAATTCAGTTACTGTGAATGTGAAACCTTCTGTAATGTGTTTAATAGATAACATACTAAAATGTTTAACTTTTTTTTTCGTTGCTTTTATTTTTTTATTTTAGTAATTTTAGTAAATTCTTAGTTATTTCCTTCTTAATCTTTTGATTTTTTAATTTTTTTTCTCTGTAAATTTATTGAAATAAATGAATCTAATGCATAAGCTATACCTATTCTGCTTATATTCTAATCATTGAAATGGAATTATACAGGGTGGCGCGTCATATACGACGCGGTTTTTGCAAAGTGAACAAAAGTTTTGTGAGCTTATGTAAGTCAATTTAAAGCATTCTCTAAAATGATATAGAGTTCTACAGGGTGTCCCAAAAAAAATTACATATCAAAGTTGTGTTTTTTTGTAATGGAACACCCTATATATTAAGTGATTTTCGGATTTTAGTAAAAAAATAAAAGCGAGTTTATTAGAAAAGTATACGACTAAAATGTATAGTTTTTAGTAAGTCGATCGTCTCGATTAGAAGTTCTTAAACGAAGGTTCCTGGACGTCTAGATTGACGTCTTCATGGACGTGGTCATAATTCAAAAACCACTCTATGATATTAAGGTATTTTTGGAACCGAAATTTTATAGCAAATTCACTGAATAAAATAAATATAAAGCACTTCATTTGAAAAACTAAAACGTAAGTGTAGAAATATATTTGACTCGCTCTGTATATCTATAAAAATATTTTTGAAATTTGAACTACCATTAAATGCATATTTTGTAAAAGGTATGGAGTGAAAATCTCAGATAGAAATCCTGCTACAGAGGTTTTTCGGAACACGGAGCCATCTTGTATGTATGCATTTGTATATGTGTTTATTTAAATACCTACTAAAGTGTAAAAGCAACGAACTTAAATGGGTAAATTTTGTAATATATCTTATTAACAAAACAATGCAATTTTTTTTATAAAAATTCGTTCACAATAAATGAATCTCGAGGTTTGTATCACATAAGCACTCCATTATTAGTAATGTCTACATAATAATTACAACCTAACCTAACCAAGGGAGTTAGAAGCTTATATTAATTAAGTAAGATAAAAATATTTTTGCAGACTGCTAACGAAGAAGCCTTAGAGACAGCATTGGAAGTGGCCCTGGAAACAGGGTACAGGCACATAGATACAGCCTATGCTTACAAAAACGAGCACGTTATTGGAAAGGTACTAAAAAAATGGATTTCATCAGGCAAAGTCAAGAGAGAAGAGCTGTTCGTTACTACTAAGTTACCTATGGAAGCTGTAAACGCTGACAGGTGAATAAAATCACTATATTACTAATTTCTTATATTATGTAACGATCATTTTTTTTAATTAAAATTATTAGTAAAAAAAAATAATACTTATTAGTTTCCAGTATCTGATATTGTTGTGCAATAATACACAATTAATTTCAAAAATTAAGTCCGAAAAATTCTCCGAAAAAAATATCTTTCTGTTTATTTTAGAGTCGAACCATATTTGAAGAAATCCTTGGAAAGACTTCAGTTGGATTATGTAGACTTGTATTTGATCCATTTTCCGATTTGTACCAAACAAATTGACATATTTCAGAGTGCAAAAATTGAAACTGAACCCACTGATCACCTAGCTGTTTGGAAGGTAATTTCTTTATTGCCTTTTTATTATTCCATAACTCACTCTGTATATTATATTAAATAATCTTATCAATTTTTTTTGAAATTATTGTTTGTTGAGTATTGTTTTTCTTTATTTATTCAAATGTAGAATGAATAATGTAGAATGTAGAATGTAGAATGTAGACTGTAGACTGTAGGCTGTGGACTGTAGGCTGTAGGCTGTAGGCTGTAGGCTGTAGACTGTAGACTGTAGACTTATACTGTAGACTGTAGACTGTAGACTGTAGACTGTAGACTGTAGACTGTAGACTGTAGACTGTAGACTGTAGACTGTAGACTGTAGACTGTATACTGTATACTGTATACTGTATACTGTATACTGTATACTGTATACTGTATACTGTATACTGTATACTGTATACTGTATACTGTATACTGTAGACTGTAGACTGTAGACTGTATACTGTATACTGTATACTGTATACTGTATACTGTATACTGTATACTGTATACTGTATACTGTAGACTGTAGACTGTAGAATTAATAGTAGTAGTTTTTTTTCTGTCACATTATATTCTTTTATAGAAATTGGAAGAGCAAGTTGACGCAGGCAGGACCAAAACAATAGGATTATCAAATTTCAACGTTAAGCAAATAGAAAGAATTTTGAAAAATGCTAGAATCAAACCAGCGTGCCTGCAAATAGAAATTCATGTTTTCCTTCCCCAATATGAACTGGTAAAATATGCTCAAGATAATGGTTTAGTAGTGGTCGGGTTTTCTCCTTTGGCCAACCCTGGAGCTCACGTATTTTTCGAGAGATTAGGATTACCGTAAGTCATAATAATTAGTAATTTTATATTTTAATTTAAAACTTACTTATTTTAATATTTTTTTTTGCTTAATTTTTCTGTTTTTTTTTTGCAGACACAAACAATTGCCTAGCATGTCAACCGAGCCCACAATCAATCGCATAGCCCAGAAGCATAAAAAAGGTCCCGCTCAGATCATGCTTAAATATCTACTCCAAAGAGACATCGTCGTGATCCCCAAGAGCATATCACCCAACAGAATCAAAGAGAACTTTGATTTATTTGATTTTACTTTAGAACAAACGGATTTGGATGATTTGAAGAAACTTGATCTTGGAGAAGATGGTAGAGTCTTCGATTTCGCTTTTTCAGAAGAGTAAGTTTTTTTGATTGTGCTTGTTTACTGATTTTGCGTGTATAATTTGATTAATTAATTATTCAGTAATTATTAATATTGTTTTTCAGGTTTCCGAAACATCCTGAATGGCCACTGGCTCCTAAAGAAATCAAGTGATTTTTATTTTATAAGTATTTTTAATTTTTACAATATTTTGTTACAAATTTAATTTATATATCTAAAACAATAAAATTTATTTATAAGTACATGCGTAATAAGTGTTTTTATTCATATATTATACAGAGCAATAAGAATTACGAATATATTCTAATAAACATTATTAGATTATAAAGAATTACATTAGCCTACTACCCTTCTCCATTGAATATCGGAATAATATACTGGGTGTTCTATTTAAAACAAGAGAGTAACATGCTTTTAAAGGTAACCAATGTTCAATGTTAATTTTGTTTCACCCTGTATAACTTTTTGGATCAAGTTTTAATTTGATTTAAAGTACAATAGTTAATTTAACTACATATTAGGCTATACCGGGTAAATTCCAATTTAGGTAGCTTTTATTGTAATTTAAAAATTATTGTTGAAAATGTTAAATAATATGTCAAAAACCTTACATTTTAGTCATATACTTCTATAAAACTCACCTTTATTTTTCTCCCAGAATTCGAAAATCAATTAATGTATAGAGTGTTCCAAATTACAAAAAACACAACTTTGATATGTAACTTTTTTTGGGGACACCCTGTAGAACTCTCTATATTTTTAAAAAGTGCTCTGAATTAACCTACATATGCTCAATAATTATCTAAAAAGATTGGATATACAGAGTGAGTCTAAAATATGTGCAAAAATATTTAGGGGTGGTATATTTCGACCCCAGGATCACGTCTATGAGGCTTTTTTCGCAAAATAAGTTATTGAAAATCGTAAATTTAAAAAAAAAAGTTCTAAAAAGAACAAGGCATGCATGTGCCAATTTGACATTATATATTTATAATGTATATTACATAACTCAAAGTTTAATTTATATATCTTATAGTAAACATTACATCATTAGATAAAAATCTGTAAATCTTTATACAGGTACTCGTAATAGCGCTCCTATTTTCATTAGACAAACTCAGTACTAACAGTTCAAAACGCATGCTCATATCTCAGTCACTTCAAACGTACGTAAGGCAGATAAGATACATCATTTTGTATTGTCAGTCAAACATATAAATTCAATTCGTTTAGCAGTTGTTGCTGAAGTCTACTTAATCGCTTTAAACAGTTATAGTATCAGATAGTACCGGTAATAATGGTGGTACCCAATGCTTTGTTATTAGGAAAATATGAGTTTCCTGTCGTCGGTTATGGTACCTGGCAGGTGAGTCCTTGACATAAAATGATTCGTTTGGTACATAATTCGTCTGTTATTATTTTAAATTGTTTGCCTATTAGACTAGTATGAAATCTTGTGTAATATTTGAATAGTTTTTATCACTATAATTTGTTTTAAACATAAAATGTTAATAAAATAAAGATATTTACGTAATTTATACAATTTTGAATAGTTTTTCTTTCTTTATTTTTGTTTTTTTTGCTTCTACAGACTAGTAGGGGAGATGTACCCTTAAAAGTTCGTAATTTTGTGTTAATTAGGCTAATTTGCTTAGAAGATTTTAAAGTTTACATTTTTATTTTTCAAATATTTTTTTTAGATTGTATATTTTTGTTCAAATAAAATTATTTTCTGTTAAAAAAACTATTAAATTTCGATGACTATTTAAAAATACTTATTTTTACGATTTTAGCAAAAAAAATAGATAATTTCATATTTTAAGTTGAGATTATAAATAATAGGACATTACTAATGTAATTATTTAGACGGTTTCTGAAAGGTATAACAAAAATTAATTATTTTAATAGTCCGACAATGAAGAGGAACTTGAAAAAGCTTTGAACGCAGCTCTAGAAACCGGATACAGACATATAGACACAGCTTACATATACAACAACGAGCATATCATAGGGAAAGTGCTTCAACAATGGATATCTTCAGGAAAACTCAAGAGAGAAGAACTATTTATAACAACAAAACTACCTATGCAAGCTATACATGAAGATAGGTGAGTAAACTTGCATGTTTTCTTTATATGAAATAAGTATTACAGTTGGGGGTAGGGATTTTTGGTGTTACACAGCAAAATAAAACACTAAATCACCACAATACACCAAAACACTTTTACTTTTACACTGGACGCGCGTTTCGCTAACCATGTTAGCATCATCAGCAGATGATTAAGCTAATATTGGTCTTCTAGTTTGCCCAACATATTTTTGATTACAATCTTTACAAGAAATTTCATAAATACCCGACATTTGCAGTGGAGGTGTTTTATCCTTTGGATTACCTAATAATTGTTGTAATTTATTATTAGCACTATACACAAGTTTATAATTGACATTCTTAAAAATTCTTTCTAGACCACGCGATAACTCTCTATCAAACGGTATTGAAAAATATTTTGACGTATCTTTCTCCGCTTGAAAAGTCGAATTTTCAGAAATCATTAATCTACACCTACGTTTTCTAATTATTTTATCAACTAGTGAAGGAGAATATCCATTACACTTCGCTGTATTCCTAATGTAATCTCTTTCTATGTCATATCTTTCGTTGGTAAGTGGAAAACTAAGTAATCTATGAACTAAGAAATTGAAACTAGCCATTTTATGTTCACTATGATTCATTAAGAATATATCTGCGTGTAGTGGTATTTTTCCTATAGATATCAAATTCCAGGCAATTATTACTATTTCCAATAACTAATACATCTAGTAATGGTAATCTGTCGTTGTTCTCAATTTCATGTGTAAATTTAATGGAAGGAAAACAATTATTTAACTTAGAAATAAAATTATCTACAGTGTCTGAATGTGTGTCAAAATCAGCAAAAATATCATCCACATACCTAAACCATACTCTTGGAAAATACCCAAACTGATTCTTAGCCTCCACTTCAAACCTGCTCATGAATAAATAAGCCAAAAAATGGAGACAATGGATTACCCATTGCTGTACCTTCCCGCTGTTCAAAAAAGTTGTTATTAAATTGAAAACAAGTTTGTTTCATATATAACGATGTAAGCTCAATATATTCAATCACAGTTTTATTGTCGAGACCATTTGCGTTCAGTAATTCCTTCAAGTAGCCTAATATGTGGAATTGGAGCATTTGGAAACAACGAAGATACATCAAAGGAGACCAAATTTCACCTTCATGCAATGTAATATTATTAATTTTGTTAATGATCAGTTTAATCATCAATCTGCTGATGATGGTAACATGGTTAGCAAAACGCGCGTCTAGTGTAAAAGTAAAAGTGTTTTGGTGTATTGTGGTGATTTAGTGTTTTATTTTGCTACGAAATAAGTAGTTTTAATAATATGTTCTGGAGTATAATGGAGTTTTGAAGAATCTCACTAAAATTTTCTAAAAAGAAATAAAAAGTAAAATTAATTTTATATTTAATATTTATTGCAGAGTTGAACCATTCATAAAAGAATCTTTGGAGAGGTTGCAGCTGAATTATGTAGATTTGTACCTGATCCATTTTCCGATATGTACCAAACCTAGAGAACCATACTCAAAAGTACCGTTCGAAGTTGACGACACAGATCACATAGCTGTCTGGAAAGTGAGTATCTTTTTTGAAGAAAGTATATATGCATAGCGTTAGCCCGTTTCATAGCATTGAAGCATTACATGAAAAAAACAGTATTAAAAACGCTTTTTGACTAAAACCTTTTTGATCCTTCTTTGTGTCCTCGTCTTTTTTATTTAATGTCCGTGCTCTAAAATTATATAAACAAGTTTGCTTTGACTTTCTTTTAGTCAAAATATTTTAGGAAATAAAAATGACTTATTTATAAATATATAAATAGTTATTATTAATAGCAACAAAACTCAGCTCTTTAACAGCACTTAAGGGACATAAATGTCCTTTACTACCGCTTTCCCGTTCAAAATATTCTAATAAGGTTGCGATGAATTTTTTGCAATGGCAATTAAGCTGTTTTGAACATTCCGAACTAAAAGAGTTTCTAAAAAGAACAAAGAACTGTTCGAACACAATTCATTTAATGTCAGAAAATAAATGAATAAATTAAGCAACTTGATATTTTTTACAGCAAAGCTACCACCTGTGATTCGTATCGTATATTTCTCACTTTATTGATTTTATGGAAAGCACTGTTCATTACAACAGTTTCCTGTCTCACAATTCCATGACAACTCTCACAATTCCAATTACAACAATTTCTTGTCTCACAATGTTCCGTTTGTGTCGGGGAAGGGATCATAGTTTCATAGTTGTCGATTTTTGAAAGAAATCAGTACATGTATATTATTTCGTATATTTTTCATTTTATTGATTTTATGGAAAGCACTGTTCATTAAAATGTTGTATCCTATATTATAGGGCTTGTTTCTCTCTACAACTTCCTGTCTCACAATGTACCGTTTGTGTCGGGGAAGGGATCATAGCTTCATAGTTGTCGATTTTCGAAAGAAATCAGTACATGTATATTATTTCGTATATTTTTCATTTCATTGATTTTATGGAAAGCACTGTTCATTAAAATGCTGTATCCTATCTTATAGGGCTTGTTTCTCTCTACAACTTCCTGTCTCACAATGTACCGTTTGTGTCGGGGAAGGGATCATAGCTTCATAGTTGTCGATTTTCGAAAGAAATCAGTACATGTATATTATTTCGTATATTTTTCATTTTATTGATTTTATGGAAAGCACTGTTCATTAAAATGTTGTATCCTATGTTATAGGGCTTGTTTCTCTCTACAATTTCCTGTTTCACAATGTACCGTTAGTGTCCGGGAAGGGATCATAGTTTCATAGTTGTCGATTTTTTTGAAAGAAATCAGTACATGTATATTATTTCGTATATTTTCATTTTATTGATTTTATGGAAAGCACTGTTCATTAAAATGTTGTATCCTATGTTATAGGGCTTGTTTCTCTCTACAATTCTCTGTCTCACAATGTACCGTTTGTGTCGGGGAGAGGATCATAGTTTCATAGTTCTCGATTTTCGAAAGAAATCAGTACATGTATATTATTTCGTATATTTTTCATTTTATTGATTTTGTGGAAAGCACTGCTCATTAAAATGTTGTATCCTATGTTATAGGGCTTGTTTGTCTCTACAATTTCCTGTCTCACAATGTACCGTTAGTGTCGGGGAAGGGATCATAGTTTCATAGTTGTCGATTTTTGAAAGAAATCAGTACATGTATATTATTTCGTATATTTTTCATTTTATTGATTTTATGGAAAGCACTGTTCAATAAAATGTTGTATCCTATGTTATAGGGCTTGTTTCTCTCTACAACTTCCTGTCTCACAATGTACCGTTTGTGTCGGGGAAGGGATCATAGCTTCATAGTTGTCGATTTTCGAAAGAAATCAGTACATGTATATTATTTCGTATATTTTTCATTTTATTGATTTTATGGAAAGCACTGTTCATTAAAATGTTGTATCCTATGTTATAGGGCTTGTTTCTCTCTACAATTTCCTGTTTCACAATGTACCGTTAGTGTCCGGGAAGGGATTATAGTTTCATAGTTGTCGATTTTTGAAAGAAATCAGTACATGTATATTATTTCGTATATTTTTCATTTTATTGATTTTATGGAAAGCACTGTTCATTAAAATGTTGTATCCTATGTTATAGGGCTTTGTTTCTCTCTACAATTCTCTGTCTCACAATGTACCGTTTGTGTCGGGGAGAGGATCATAGTTTCATAGTTCTCGATTTTCGAAAGAAATCAGTACATGTATATTATTTCGTATATTTTTCATTTTATTGATTTTGTGGAAAGCACTGCTCATTAAAATGTTGTATCCAATGTTATAGGGCTTGTTTGTCTCTACAATTTCCTGTCTCACAATGTACCGTTAGTGTCGGGGAAGGGATCATAGTTTCATAGTTGTCGATTTTTGAAAGAAATCAGTACATGTATATTATTTCGTATATTTTTCATTTTATTGATTTTATGGAAAGCACTGTTCATTAAAATGTTGTATCCTATATTATAGGGCTTGTTTCTCTCTACAATTTCCTGTTTCACAATGTACCGTTAGTGTCCGGGAAGGGATCATAGTTTCATAGTTGTCGATTTTTGAAAGAAATCAGTACATGTATATTATTTCGTATATTTTTCATTTCATTGATTTTATGGAAAGCACTGTTCATTAAAATGCTGTATCCTATCTTATAGGGCTTGTTTCTCTCTACAACTTCCTGTCTCACAATGTACCGTTTGTGTCGGGGAAGGGATCATAGCTTCATAGTTGTCGATTTTCGAGAAAGAAATCAGTACATGTATATTATTTCGTATATTTTTCATTTTATTGATTTTATGGAAAGCACTGTTCATTAAAATGTTGTATCCTATGTTATAGGGCTTGTTTCTCTCTACAATTTCCTGTTTCACAATGTACCGTTAGTGTCCGGGGAAGGGATCATAGTTTCATAGTTGTCGATTTTTGAAAGAAATCAGTACATGTATATTATTTCGTATATTTTTCATTTTATTGATTTTATGGAAAGCACTGTTCATTAAAATGTTGTATCCTATGTTATAGGGCTTGTTTCTCTCTACAATTCTCTGTCTCACAATGTACCGTTTGTGTCGGGGAGAGGATCATAGTTTCATAGTTCTCGATTTTCGAAAGAAATCAGTACATGTATATTATTTCGTATATTTTTCATTTTATTGATTTTGTGGAAAGCACTGCTCATTAAAAATGTTGTATCCTATGTTATAGGGCTTGTTTGTCTCTACAATTTCCTGTCTCACAATGTACCGTTAGTGTCGGGGAAGGGATCATAGTTTCATAGTTGTCGATTTTTGAAAGAAATCAGTACATGTATATTATTTCGTATATTTTTCATTTTATTGATTTTATGGAAAGCACTGTTCAATAAAATGTTGTATCCTATGTTATAGGGCTTGTTCTCTCTACAACTTCCTGTCTCACAATGTGACCGTTTGTGTCGGGGAAGGGATCATAGCTTCATAGTTGTCGATTTTCGAAAGAAATCAGTACATGTATATTATTTCGTATATTTTTTTCATTTTATTGATTTTATGGAAAGCACTGTTCATTAAAATGTTGTATCCTATGTTATAGGGCTTGTTTTCTCTCTACAATTTCCTGTTTCACAATGTACCGTTAGTGTCCAGGAAGGGATCATAGTTTCATAGTTGTCGATTTTTGAAAGAAATCAGTACATGTATATTATTTCGTATATTTTTCATTTTATTGATTTTATGGAAAGCACTGTTCATTAAAATGTTGTATCCTATGTTATAGGGCTTGTTTCTCTCTACAATTCTCTGTCTCACAATGTACCGTTTGTGTGTCGGGAGAGGATCATAGTTTCATAGTTCTCGATTTTCGAAAGAAATCAGTACATGTATATTATTTCGTATATTTTTCATTTTATTGATTTTGTGGAAAGCACTGCTCATTAAAATGTTGTATCCTATGTTATAGGGCTTGTTTGTCTCTACAATTTCCTGTCTCACAATGTACCGTTAGTGTCGGGGAAGGGATCATAGTTTCATAGTTGTCGATTTTTGAAAGAAATCAGTACATGTATATTATTTCGTATATATTTTTTCATTTTATTGATTTTATGGAAAGCACTGTTCATTAAAATGTTTGTATCCTATATTATAGGGCTTGTTTCTCTCTACAACTTCCTGTCTCACAATGTACCGTTTGTGTCGGGGAAGGGATCATAGCTTCATAGTTGTCGATTTTCGAAAGAAATCAGTACATGTGGCTATTATTATCGTATATTTTTTCATTTCATTGATTTTATGGAAAGCACTGTTCATTAAAATGCTGTATCCTATCTTATAGGGCTTGTTTCTCTCTACAACTTCCTGTCTCACAATGTACCGTTTGTGTCGGGGAAGGGATCATAGCTTCATAGTTGTCGATTTTCGAAAGAAATCAGTACATGTATATTATTTCGTATATTTTTCATTTTATTGATTTTATGGAAAGCACTGTTCATTAAAATGTTGTATCCTATGTTATAGGGCTTGTTTCTCTCTACAATTTCCTGTTTCACAATGTACCGTTAGTGTCCGGGAAGGGATCATAGTTTCATAGTTGTCGATTTTTGAAAGAAATCAGTACATGTATATTATTTCGTATATTTTTCATTTTATTGATTTTATGGAAAGCACTGTTCATTAAAATGTTGTATCCTATGTTATAGGGCTTGTTTCTCTCTACAATTCTCTGTCTCACAATGTACCGTTTGTGTCGGGGAGAGGATCATAGTTTCATAGTTCTCGATTTTCGAAAGAAATCAGTACATGTATATTATTTCGTATATTTTTCATTTTATTGATTTTGTGGAAAGCACTGCTCATTAAAATGTTGTATCCTATGTTATAGGGCTTGTTTGTCTCTACAATTTCCTGTCTCACAATGTACCGTTAGTGTCGGGGAAGGGATCATAGTTTCATAGTTGTCGATTTTTGAAAGAAATCAGTACATGTATATTATTTCGTATATTTTTCATTTTATTGATTTTATGGAAAGCACTGTTCAATAAAATGTTGTATCCTATGTTATAGGGCTTGTTTCTCTCTACAATTTCCTGTCTCACAATACAGAGTTCTAGAGCTCTTATTATTCTTTATCTTTTTTATTTTTCTAGAAACTTGAGGAGCAGGTCGATGCTGGAAGAACAAGAACCATTGGCGTATCGAATTTCAACATCAAACAAATCGACAGGATAGTGAAAAATTCCAGAATTAAACCTGCCTGTTTGCAGGTGGAAATCCACGTGTTTTTGCAACAAAGGGAATTGGTAGAGTTCGCTCAGAAGAACGGACTGGTTGTTGTAGCTTATTGTCCATTGGCTAATCCTGGAATCAATAAATTCTACAAGAAGTTAGGACTGCCGTAAGTACACGAACATCGTGGCGTAACATTACAACACCCAAAAAAAGACTATACTATATAGAACCAATGACTAAAGAATATAAGAACATGTAACGCCCATATACGGGCTGCAGCAGAATTTGTGACCTTAGACGCCATTCTTTTGATGACAAACAATGAGTCATCATCTGGCCACCAGCGACAATTTTAGCGATTTTTAATAGTTTGTGTGTAGTGAACTTTGTATAAACTTTATTACAATGGTGATTAGTTGTTCAGCTTTCAAGTGTAAAAGCAACAGATATAAGAAAGAGCCAGGAGTTACGTTTCATAGGTAAATAAAGTGTCCGCTCCACCTTTTTAGCGTTTTCTTAGTTTTCTTATTGAATTCGATAATTATTTTTCTGATATTATGTACTTGATGTATCAATACTAATTTTGTACCTTTTGTTAACATTTTATTACGTTTTTTTTCGTAATTAATTAGTATGATATCAACGTATACAGACGTCACATCGTCACAATTTGCTCTCGGGTGTTATTTGTCCTTGAATTTTTTAGTCATTGACTAGAACCGATTTGGTTGTTTTCTAAAGTTTATAGTGTTGTACCACCTTAAGTTTCATTGAGAACCACAAAATTAGATGCTTATTTATATATTATATTCTTATTTTTTTGTAGAGAAAAAGAATTACCAAGCATGCTTACCGATGCCACCATCCAAAAAATCGCCAAGAAGCATAACAAGACTCCCGCTCAAATCATGCTGAAGCATTTGCTCCAAAGGGACATTGTCGTCATACCAAAGAGTGTCACTGTGAGCAGGGTAAAAGAAAACATTAATTTATTCGACTTCACACTAGACAACGAAGATATTGAAGCATTGAAAGGTCTTGATGTTGGAGAACCAGCTAGAGCATGCGATTTCTCATTTGCAAAAGCGTGAGTATATTACAGTAATTATAGAAATATATCTATACCGGGTGTGTCTCAAAGGAGGCTTACCCCTAAAACTTTTTTATTTTTTCAAATAAAAAAAACGAGATTTGGTATGTTTGTGTATGACATAAATTAGGATTGATTGACGTATTCAATTGTTTTCGGTCACTTCTTGTTGTAAAAGATGGCCAAATCGTTTTTTAATCATATCTCAATTTTTTCAAACGGAACAAGGGTGGCTCATTAGCATATTTGGAAAAAGCATTTTTTTACGAATAATTTGGTACTAAACACTTGGTATTTCGAGTCAAATTGTCGCTATGAACCGCATGTTATAATTTCAAATAAACCCTATGCGAAAATATATATGAACATGAACTTTTTAAAGAAGGGCATTATATATTATAATGCTCTGCATTAAACGTAGATCGTAATGCCTTATAATAATATACATTATAGGATTGTTTAAGTACTTGGTATTCTAGCAATAATGCTGAAATATTGGCGACATGCTTTCAGAAACCTATTGAAAGGAGAACATTATAGATCATAATGCCTTTTAATGTAGACCAAAATGCTCAATGGCGATTGTTTAAGTATTTTAGCTGTAATTCTGAAATAATTATGAAGTGAAAAAAAATGGTTATATCTACTTACGTATTTTTTTTGTTCTTTATTAGGTTTGTTGAACATCCTGAGTGGCCCTTCCCGAAGTAAAAAGCTTGCTGAAAAGAAAAAAAAATATTGTTAAATATTGCTGACTGTTATTTTCATTATAAATATTTGTAAAAAAATTAAGCTAGTTTTATGTTTTATTTCTATGTTACTACGTTCCATCATCTACTGACTGACCTTTTATTTATAAATAAATAAATAACGGACACCCTAATAATTATATACAATCTAGATGAACAAGAAAGAAATAGTGAGGGAAATGTATAAGAAAGAAGAAAAAGATTAAACGGCTCAGCCCTCAACAACTCGTAACCTTATACACCAGTGTACACTAGTGCAGACATGCACACTCACACACTCACACAACCACACCTACACTAGTGCACACTGATGTAACTGCCTTCAGGCTTCATCAGTACGGTAAGGAATCAGGAAGCGAAGAAATCGATCCCAAAACACAAAAAACCAGGAAGCAAACGATGCAACGAGGCACCGTGTGCAACCCAGGAGATGGGAAAAAAAAATTGATGAAGAAACGAAAATAAATGATGGAAAATAAAAGGAGCAAACTGGAGCCTAAAGCCTCATTTTGCAGCCAAGAACCAGAGTCGCCCAGGATTGTGGGCTTCGTCCAGAACAGCCGCGGAGGTAGCCAACAGCAACCCGCCGGTGTATAAACCTGAAAGAATTTGTACCTTCAACAATTCATTATTTATGACAAACTCTCTAAAATCTTTAAATAATGCAATATAGACAAAGAACGAACAACTCCTCAAAAAAAGAGGGAGAGCATGCTCCCAAACCTTATATATCACTTCACAGGCCATCGTACGTACCCTCGACGATCTCCTTGACTTATTTAGGACCCTGGTATTAACAGGGGTATGGCTAACGTCTTAAAATCACACCGCTGACAGAAGTATGAAATGCATTTCGAAAAAAAAAGAGAAAATAGAGCACGCCTTCGTATAGTTTGGGCTCTAGCCAGGGTTGTACAAACACTATGTTATTTCATACAATTTACTACATGATTTATAAATATTAGTACACTTAGCACACATTTTTGGTAGTGTTTATATTTTTATTTTTAGGTCTATTTTCATGAATTTTTTAGCTAGCTGTATACAGGGTGGTGCCTTTCATACGCCGCGGAAGCTCCAATTTTGGCAGCATATGTAGGTTAACTGAAAGCATTTTATTAAAATATATAGAATTATACAGGGTGTCTCCAAAAAAAGTTACACATCAAAGTTGTTTTTTTTCTAATAGAACACCCTATATATTAACTGATTTTCGGATTCTAGGAAAAAAATAAAGGTGAGTTTTATTAAAGAAGCATATACCTAAAATCGAAGGATTTTGACATATTTCAAATTTTGTGAAAATGAAAAGTAAATTTTAAATTTCGATAACAGCTACCTAAATTTTAGTTGACCTTGTATAGCCTGATATTTAATTACAGTAACCATTGTATGTTAAACCAAATTGAAATGTGACCCGAAAAGTTATACAGGGTGAGACAATATTAATATGGAACATTAGTCACTTTTAAAAGCAAGTTACTCCTTTATTTTAAATGGAACACCCAGTATATTTTTCCGGTGTTGAATGGGGAATTTATATATCTTCAAAATATTATTAAGGTTGCCTACCCCTCAGACAAAGATTTTCCTAGATATTTTAATTTTTATGATGTGTGATATACCTTTTGTTAATTTAACAAAAATTAACGATTGTAGAGTAAAATTTCAACGGTAATAAAAAGATACACGTTTAAAACATATTTTAATTATTACAGAATTAAAACTAGATATAAACCTATAATTATGTGACAAAAATTAGCTAGATGAAATGAAATGCTTTAAATGATTCCTTTCTTGTTAACTGCATAAAATTATTGTCTGTTCAAAAGGATATTTTCCTTCTAAAAGGCACATGTGGAGTTCTATCTCGCAGTTACAATAATTTCTCTCATGTAGTCGACAATAGTTGTTCGAGTTTTGTATACACTGTTTTTAACATATTCCCATAAAAACAGACTAGATAAAATCAGGATCATTTAAGCATTCTATTAATTGGTGAATGCACACTGCATTCACCAACTAATAAAGTGGCATTCTAAATTATGAATATGATTGAGTTTCTATAAGTACTCCATGCTAACTTATTCTTTTGTTAATTTCTGGTAGTAGAGATCCCGAGCTATGTATTAGTTAATTACTGTAGTAAATGTAACAATATCTTTATTTTTACTTCATCCTAAAGCCCAACCCTGAATTAAAAAGAGTAAACAGCGGTTCGAGACCGTTTATTTTTCTAAAAATCTACGCTTTCCCGAAAGCAAACAAACAGCACGTAAGAACGGCCCAATCTGTCGATGTTCGAAGTAAAATAATAATAAATTTTAAAAAACGACCCACAACAAACCGTTACCAGGCTGAAGATCGTTGTCTGGAACATGTTGATAGAAAATCGTACCGTAATAATGTCAGATCGTGTTATTCTATTCCCATGGTGTTGCCCCGTAAATTTCCGTAACGGGTTTTGGAAATTTTGATCGTTAGTTGACGCTTGGGCGAAGTTAAAAATAGAAATATTTGGTCGGAGACGATATTTTTCGTGTAGTTTCATATACAGGGTGGTCCAAACTGTATTCCGAAATAAAAAATAAGTAAAGAAGTTCGTATAAATATACGTCCTAAAATGCTTAGTTTCGGAGATACAGGGTATAGAAGTTATATTTTTATTTCGATTTTTTCCAAATAATTTCTGAAGTAACGTTAATATTTGGGTGAAAATTGGTGTCTGGACGTTTTTTGACATGAAAAATTTAATCTTAATGTCAATATGACTCCTATTTGTAGGGGGCGCCACCTACATATGTTTTAACTGTTCGGAAGACTAATAACTTTTCGTCCGTACCTGTATAAAAGAGCTGAGTGAAAAAATATACATTTCCTGTTGGTAAAAATCGGTACGAGCAGCCGTTCTCCAGATATTTTGACTGGAAATAGTCAATACATGTCATTATTGACAAAAAACATACACGTTGAGTAGATAGTTATTTGACTGAAATAATAAATTTGGAAAATTTTTATTTTTTTAAATTAACCATATATTTTTTTGCGAAAAAATGATGATAAAACAGTTTCTGTTGAACTTTTGGCACAAAAACAATTCAAATTTATTATTTCAGTTTAATAACTATTTCGTCAACATGTTTAATTTAAGTCAATGATGACAGGTGTTGATAATTTCGACTCGAAATATCTCGAGAACCATTACTCCTAGCGATTTTTACCAAGAGACCTTTTTTAAGTAAAAAACGTCGTAAATTTATATTTTTTTACTTGGTAGTTTTATACAGGTACGGACGAAAAGTTGTTACCCTTCAAACCAGTTAAAAATATGTAGGTGGCGCCCTCTACAAGTAAGAGTCATTTTGACATCAAAATCAAATTTCTCGTGTCCGGTATTAAGAGATATATTTTAGGAACCCTCTAGGTTTATTTATTTCTCTATGATAATGACATGCGATCTAAGATAACTATAAAAAGGTTCCAAAACCCCTTATAAGATATTTACAATGCTCTCTTAAATAACCCTTACAAAAAGATAAAATTACTCTCTTTCATGGATCCAGTAAATGTTATTTTCATCGCCTTGCTGTAAAATTGATGTTCGTCATTAAAAAAATCCCTCTCCTCGCAAGGAGCAAGATAAATTATCTTTATTCATCTTGACGTAGCTCTCTAACAATATTCCTGACACCTGTTGAATGCCAGTTCTATTTATACCTTTCCTGGCATGTTTACTTTACTGTATCTTCCTCAGGATGTTACATTATATTTCTGACTTATACTCAAAACTCTATATTTTCCAATTGTATTATTTTTTATATGAATATTAATATTTTGAAAGTCCTGAAGGACAGAAAAGAATATAATATACTAATATATAAAATCCTTAAGTGACTGACATACTGATTAATCACGATCCTGCTCAAATCACTCAAAGTAAGAAGCTCAATTTTGGAATACAGGTTGATTCTAGGGTGTAGAGGTTCGATAAGAAGGGATTTTTCGAAATTCCAGTTCTAAGAGGGTGAAACCACCCCTCAAATATTTTTTATTTAAAAAACGGCCAAGTTTCCGAAAAAAACGCTTAAACACGTATATTTTATTTTGTTTTTTTACATATTTTAAGATTTTTTAAAAACGTATACAGGGTGTTTCGAAAAATCTGGTCGTTGATTAATCACGATCCTGCTTAAAGCACTTGACGTAAAAAGCTGATTTTTGGAAAACAGATTGACTTTAGGGTGCAGAGGTTTGATAAGAAAGGATTTTTCGAAACTCGAATTCTAAGGAGGTGAAACTATCCTTCAAATATTAAAATATTTTTTATTTAAAAACCGGTGAGTTTTTCGGAAAAACTCTTAAATACGTATATTTTATTTTGTTGTTTTACATATTTTAAGACTTTTTATAAATTTATACAGGGTGTTTCATAAAATATGACAATTGAGTAATCACGATTCTGCTTAAACTGCTTGACGTTTAAAGCTGATTTTTGGCAAACGGATTGACTGTGGGGTGTAGAGGTTCGATAAGGAGGGGTTTCTCGAATCTCAAATTCCAAGAGGGTGTAAACGCCCCTCAAATATTACAATATTTGTTATTTAAAAAAACGGTTAGTCTTTCAGGAAAACGCTTCGACAAGCATAATTTATTTGGTTTTTTACATATTTCGAAATTTTTTAAAAAATCATACAGGGTGTTCCAAAAAGTTGGGTAATTTCTTAACCACGATTCTGTCTAAACTGCTTGACGTAAAAAGCTTATTTTTGGCAAACGGATTTTTCGAAAGTCAAATTCCAACGAGATGAAACTACCTCTCAAATATTACCAAGTTATATAATAATATCGCCATATTGTTTTTTCTCATGCTGACATAAATGGGAGAAAATTTTATCCAGTTTGTATGTTAATGGAAATTCTTGCTTTGCTTTATTATCACCATTACAAATGATTAATTCGACGCGAACGAAGTCGCTGGTGCACGCTAGTATAATATATATTTCCTTCGGCCACACACCCGATTTTCCCGAACCCTGAGAGCGACCCGAAAGTACAGCGAAATAGACTCATTGACAAACAAAAATCGACATCTGTGGAGATTTTATCGTTAAATTTACCCTTATTTCAAACTCGTAAACTAATTAATTATAAGGACACTTATATTCACCTTTCATCGAGCGTAAAAAGGACGCGTAAAATTTTTTATCGCCACTATAGCGGTCCAAACAGCTAAAAAGCCGGATACTGGCAGTTTCTCTGCCGCTTTACCGATACTCCCGCTCTAATAATGGAGCCGTTCCGGTTTTATGACGTTGTTTCGGAGTTTTACTACGCGGAAAACGGCCCTGGACAAGGAGGGAAAACCTAGACCATTGTGGGAAAGGGTACGAGTGGGAGAAAGACAGAAAATGCGAATGAGATTGTCGTTAAAGGAACTGTGATTCAACAAGTGGTCGAAATTCTGTTACAGTTTCCTTTTTAGAATGGGATAAGGATATGGTTTTATCTGGTTGAGTGGTAATAGAGGTATTCTTTTTATGGATTGGTTATTAATATGTATTATGCTCCATTCAAAACCTCAAAATTAGTGGAATAAAGTACTGGTTTCAATTATACTTTGCAGTCCATTTCACTAGTTCGAAAAAGCAGTAAAATAAGCGTTCGGCATTTAACGTTGTTGTGTAAAACTGGCTAGGTATTTTTACAAAAATGAAGAAGAAAATTAAAGATAAGGGTTTATACTATATCCGTTTTCTAGCACATTTTTAAACAACTTCTTTATTTTTCAGATTTTTAGGGTCAAACATCAACAACATATTCCTTATGTTTGGACTAAATTTTCTCGAAAATAAAGACATAATTTAAAATTCCGTTACAATACGGAAATAGATTGAAGTTTTGTGATTAGTGATATATAATTTATATAGTTTTGTAACAAATTGCTCGCTATTTTATGGCAAATGCTGGAGCTCTGCAAACCTTAATCAAGCCTTAATCAAAGCACGCGTGTTTGGAATTTTGGCTGTGGCTTAACACGACAGGATCGGGCTAAGCCTTAGGCAGATTTCTGAAATATAATATATATTTCCTTCGGCCACACACCTGCTTTACTCGACCCCTGAGAGCGACCCGAAAGTACAGCGTAATAGACTCTTAAGTATGGAAAAGAGTTGAAAATTTGCTGATTTTGGCCATGTTTCCTCATAGACGTTTTCAATGGTTTCAGAAAAATAGTAGAAGTGGTGTTTCTTGCCCATCATTTTGCACAATTTTTTTTAATATTTTAAATTATGTCTACATCTAGTTCTATACTCTTAATATCAAAATGGACTACATTTTCTTTGTGTACGCCTTTTAATTAGTTAATAACAGTAGTTTTGACAAAATTTAGTGGCTTAGCTTAATTAGTAACTATAGGCAAAGAATATTATAGTTAGCAGTAGAATTATCTTTGCTATAGGTATGGAAACTTGTTGAAAAGTTTTCAATGGGTTCAGAACATCGTAATGTCTTTGGTTCAGAAGTATTGCTAAAATTATGAAAATTTTACGATTTGTACGAAATTTTATATAGATTTTGAATATATAAACGAATAAAAGTTCAAATTCTTTGTTTCTGCGAAAAAATCGATTTTTACATCTAATGTTTTTGAAAGATTTTTCTAATTGATTAAATTGTCTATATCTAGAACGATAGAGTGAAATGGGCTATATTTTCTTCTTCTATACCTTTTAATTAGTTAGTAACAGCAGTTTTATCAAAGTTGGTGACTTTGTCCGTAGTACAGATGAATAAATGGGTGATGATAATATATCTATTAAAAATTCGGATAATTGCTTAGTTGCAATAGAGAATAAAAAATAATAAATTAATTTGAAATAAAATTTAGTTCTTTTTCTCAAAAATATTTCTTGGTACATTGTTTTAATAAAGATAATATACTGGAATATCCTAATTAGTTATTTTTAGTGCCCCGTTTAAATTGTTGATAACCTATTTATATTTTTATTGAAATTATTCTTATAAACCGTTCTGCAACTGTGCATTCGCGCTAAAGATAGTATGATGTTTCATTTAAAAACAAACATATTAACGTGCCTTGTTATAGTGACTTGTTTTTTAAAGGACGGAAAGTGTGGAGTTAGGAACTGCAATCTCATACCATTACAAATCTCTAAATCGGCTCAAACTGAATCAAAAATTCAGTACCGTGGTAAGTTTTTGACACATTTATTTATTATAGTATAAAATAATAAAAATATATTGTAGATTAAAATCAAAGTAATACACTTTTCTTTCAAACGTCACAAAAGCATTAATTTTTGCGACGTGATTGACAATATGAAAAAGTCATTTTAACGCCTAAGCACAAAAGTACGAAAATATATTTTTGTGAAAGCCATTCGAAATTGTAAGTTTTGGGTTCGATAAAGGACTATTAGAGGTACAATTTAAAAATAATTTTACAAGATACAGAGTGTCCCAAATAAGTAAAAAATATCAAAGTTGTATTTTTTTAAATGGAACACTCTGTATATTATTACATTTTTAGTTTCTACGATTAAAATAAAGGTAAATTTGATTAAGATTTATTATACTTAAACCTTACCGTTTTTGAAATATTTTCAATTTTGTGAAATTGCAGTAAAAATTTTAAGGCTTCATTTCTCCGAGGGTATCAAAGTTTTTAATACTAAATATTTACTGAAGTTTATTTACTGATCAGTTATTGTGTTGCAATAATAAAAATAATACTACCTTATACAGAGTGTCTAAAAATTTATTTTAAATAATTATTAGCTTCAAACGGCAATAACTTGTTTAATTTAAATGGAACACCCTGTATATTTTACGAGAATCAGATGCACAATTTAATTGTCTATCAAATTATATTATACCATTTTTTACTCATTTTCTACGAAAACTTGAAGGGATAGGTAAAAAATGGTATAATACAATTTGATAGACAATTTAATTTTGCATCTGATTCTCCTAAAATATACAGGGCATTCTATTTAAATTAAAAAAGTTATTGCCGTTTGAAGCTAATAATTATTTAAAATAAATTTTTAGACACTCTGTATAAGGTAGTATTATTTTTATTATTGCAACACAATAACTGATCAATAAATAAACTTCATTAAATATTTAGTATTAAAAACATTGATACCCTTGGAAAAATGAAGCTTTAAAATTTTTACTGCAATTTCACAAAATTGAAAATATTTCAATAACGGTAAGGTTTAAGTATAATAAACCTTAATCAAATTTACCTTTATTTTAATCGTAGAAACTAAAAATGTAATAATATACAGGGTGTTCCATTTAAAAAAATACAACTTTGATATTTTTTATTTATTTGGGACACTCTGTATCTTGTAAAAATATTTTTAAATTGTAGCTCTAATAGTCCTTCAACGAACCCTAAACTTACAATTTGTAAAAATCTGATCGTTTAGCTACAATACTCCGTGTCGTATGTGGTGAACAACCCTGTATAGGCGGATTTTCTTGCACCACAGACTTAAAATTCGTGCAATAAATATTGTTTATTTTTGATATTTAATTATTTCTATCTAAGATCAGACTCCATGCAGAAGCACAACATCTTATTCCATCGGTAATTCAGAGGAGGAATTCTTAAGAGCATTTGTACTGTGCAAAGAAAATGGCATGGAACTAGCTACTATCACCTCAGAAGAAGAGCAAGTCGCTTTAGAAAAATATATGAAAGGACCTGATAATGATGAAGGTAATCTTATATACAGGATGGTCTAATAATAGCGTTTAACGTAAATTTTCGTTTTTAAGTTGGGACTGGTGCGAATAACAGATTTTGGTTGGGCGGCACTAGATTGGGTAGCCGAAACAAAAATGAGTTTTTATGGCTAACCACCGGACAACATTTTCACTATACAAACTGGCACCCTAACCAGCCTGATAACTATGACAATAAGGAGGAGTGTCTCCAATTAGCGTATTATTCCAACGACAAATATCTTTGGAACGATATGCGTTGCGATCTGAAGATGAAGTATGTGTGTCAGAGAACCCTTGAATGTTGTTGAGGTATTATTTTGAATGTTTAAACAAAAATAATATGAGACTGATCATGTATTTTATGTAAAATCTACATTAGTGTGTAAAATAAAGATGCTCTTTTATTTGAAGAAATTACTTTTTTCCTCACCTGAAGCTCTATTTTTGTCTTAAAAAACATAATATACAGGGTTGTCCGAACTGTATTTTGGAAACTTCAACAGTATATTCTGCAGATAAAAATAAGTAAAAAAGTTTGTATAAATGTGTGTCTTAAAATGCTTAGTTTCGGAGATACAGGGTGTAGAAATTTCATTTTTATTTTGATTTTTGCCAAATAATTTCTGAAGTAACGTCAATATTTAGATGAAAATTAGTGCCTGGGAGTTTTTTGACGTGGGAAATTTGAGTTTGATGTCAATATATTTAGAAATTAAATGAGCATTTCACTCGAACTTCCAATATTTGATTGATTTCTGTCACATAAATGACATTAATTGACAAACAAAACAAAAAAAAACAGCCTTCTCGCACTGGTTAGTTTGTTGACAGTTATAACCGAATTTTTCAGGAACCGTGTTCCGTAATAAGAAAACTTTCAGGAAACCGATAGAAACGGAACATAAAACCATAACCAAGGTAAGCAACGGAATACACACTGAATTTAGTAAATATAAAAAATTACGTTGTCCCATTGAGGCCAACGACTCCAAACACACCAGGACGGATCGTATCGATGTCTAATCCCACGATTACAAATCGAATAAAAAAAAACGAAAAAAAAGAAAGAAAGAAGAATATACATACGAAGAAGAAATTCGAAAAAAAAAACAGAATATAATGGATACAAAGAAGAAAGAGGAGATGAGGAGCCGGTATGCGACGGCGATTATTATCTTGCGTAGCGTTTTTATGATTGGAACGGCGAACCAGTATGCAAATGGACAGGGTCCGTCTATGGTCCAGTCCGGCTTCGCTTCTTTAATTCCAAACACACTGTATAAGATCCAATAAAGACTAAAACTAGAAAAAAGTTGTTGTTGTGACGTTTGAAAAAAAAGTTGTTTTTTTCATAGCAACTGTTAAAATTGCCTTATATCTATCAAAAATAGTAGATAAAATAGTACTTTAACAGCGAGGATAGATTAAAAACTTTATTTCTTCTCGCACGTTTTTTAATTGCTTCCATTTTTGAAAATTTTTGTATTCCTTTTCATAAGTTATTCGGGATTCAAATGGAAGTAGTTTGGATATGGCGATTCTCGCTTCAGTCTGAATATCTGCTGGTAATTTACTTATTTCGTTTTGAGCCATTTCTGGCTCAAATTCAATCAGCAATCGACACGAAAGAGAATTAAAAAATATTGACTCAAAACTGACAACTAAAGAGACAACTTTATTTATTTGTCAAATTACATAGAAACCGAGGGGTAAACACCTGACCAAAATGTGTACACCAGAAATCCACTTTTGATAAATAAATCCAAGGAAATCCACAGAAATCCAAGGAAATCCATAGAAATCCAAAGAAATCTAAAGAAATCCAAGGAAATCCTCAGAAATACACAGAAATCCAAAGAAATCTAAAGAAATCCACAGAAATCCAAGGAAATCCAAAAAATATTAGATGGCATTTTAAATAGTAATATAATAATATAAAGTCAATATAGTATATTTCAGGAGATTTTTATATGACATATGACCAAAGTAATAAAAAAAATTGAGAGTAAGTTTTTTATGTGAATAAACGTCTATTTCACTTACTATTAATATTATGCGGTGATTAGTATTAGTTTAAACGTCAAAATGAAATAAAAAGTAATAGACTTGGGACCATTTAAGCTGCAGTTTGACAGAATTTATTATATAGTAAGTCATTAATACCAAGCTCTGTTTGAATGAACAAATCTGCAACTTTAATTGGTCCCAATTATACATTATACTGTATACTGAAATAGTTTTATTTCATATTTAACAAATAAGGATATTTTTATAGTGTACTAGGAGGAAACAAATAATACAATAACAAAAAAAAGAATAAAAACAACAGGACCTTTGTATTAATGACTTACTATATAACAAATTCTGTCAAACTGCAGGTTAAATGGTCCCAAGTCTATTATTTTTTATTTCATTTTGACCTTTAAACTAATAAAAATATAAAATAAACTTACAACCTAACCTCACCGCATAATATTAATAGTAAGTGAAATAGACGTTTATTCACATAAAAAACTTACTCTCAATTTTTTTTATTATTTTGGTCATATGTCATATAGAAATCTCCTGAAAGATACTATATCGACTTTATATTATTATATTACTATTTAAAATGCCATCTAATATTTTTTGGATTTTCTTGGATTTCTGTGGATTTCTTTAGATTTCTGTGGATTTCCTTGGATTTCCTTGGATTTCCTTGGATTTCTTTAGATTTCTTTGGATTTCTTTGGATTTCTGTGGATTTTCTTGGATTTATTTATCAAAAGTGGATTTCTGGTGTACACAGTTTGGTCAGGAAATCTAGTAACGACATCTAGAGAAATTCACAGATATCTAATAGACATCCACAGAAATCCACGAAAATCCATTGAAATCCACAGAAATCTACGGAAATCCACAGACATCCATGGAAACCCACAGAAATCCACAGACATCCATGGAAATCCCCGGAAATCAATATAGGTGTACACCAGAAATCCACAGGTGTTTACCCCTCGATAGAACCCAACGCCAACCCAGTACAATATTTTTTCTACTCGTATTAAATTCCTTGAAATAATAATTTCTGAATATTTTTTAAAACGTAACTCGCTATGAAAAAAAATATTGTTTAATACACGACGATAAAATTGCATTATCGTTTCCCGAAATTAATTATTAATGTTTTCGGTCGATGATAAAATACCATTTTATCGTCTTGTATAAAAAATAACTATTTATATACTGTATACTTCCTGTTCCACTCTATCATCTACTCCAACCCTCCCCTAGAGTTCTTCCCCCCTCCGGGCGTTATGATCCCCACCAGGTCGATTACTTATTTATACCCCCGGAGCCGACGCGATCTCGTAACGTATTCCGGGAGGAAGATGGCGCTGTTGCCTGGGTCGGTTAGCTAATTAAAAATTAATCCGGTTAAAAGTTTTACAATTACCTGAAGGGGTTGTAAGTTGTTCCTGGAGGATGGCGCCCTCGAAATGTTCCGGACTTAATTGTTATTATAAATAAAATTGCGAAACCTGGGGGAGGAAAAAGGTACGGATAAATAGAAGGTTAAATAGAAGATAAGTTGCTGTAATTTACGATGGTATTTTTGTTGTTTTTGGATAAATTCATGGTATACAAGCCCTAACAACTATATGTTGGGACAAGGTCATATTTTGGAATTATTGCCCTGGTTTTTCAAAATGACTTTTTTAAATATAAACATAGCCATATATCCTAAACAACTTGACAATATTTTTATGAATTTGTAAATCAATCCATATTTACAGTAGCGGATTTTGTTCATAAAAGGACAAATTTGCTGACAACTAAATGTTGGTACAAGTATTTTTAAATAATTAATATCATCATAGGCGGCTTTGCTATAAACGTCACAAATGTCGCGCAAACAATTTACTTCAGCATTGACAGCTTGTAAGTGACTCGATACTTTGAGTAGTGAGGTTTACTGTAAGTAATTTTAATTTTTTTAATTTTCAATTTTGTTAATTTAATTTAAAATAATGGTCCGTGGAAAAGCTACAAATCAAAAACTACGCGAAATTATAATTCGTCAATACAGTACGGGAAAAACAATTCGAAATATTTCTGATGATTTAAGTACTCCAAAAACCACGGTCTTTAATATAATAAAAAATACGGCGAATCTGTCAATGTAAATGTTAGAGGTAAAAGTTCGGGATGGCCAAAAGTTGTATCTCAGAGAAATTTACGAAATTTAGTAAAATATTGCAAGTCTGCGAGAAGAAGTATTCTTCGCGAAGTAACAGATAAATGGAATACTGTAACTGGTTTAAATATATCAAGAGAATGTTGCCGAAAATATAAATGCGGTCTGGGGTTTTACAAGGTAAACTTTATTTTGTGTGGATAATTAATTACCTGAAGATTATTGATACAAATTCTTATTTAGGCCAAAGAAAAACCGCTACTGACAGAAATTCAAAAGAAAAATTGCTACAATTGGGCAAAATCTAAATTATCGTGGACACAAAATGATTGGAGTAAGGTCATATTTAGCGATGAATCTAAATTTGATGTTTGCGTTGGAGATCATCGAAAACGAAAAATACGAAATAAAGCAGAAGCCTTTCATAAAGATTGCTTAAAGAGGGTTGTTAAATTTCCTAAGGGGATTATGATTCGGGGTTGCATGTCAGCAAGAGGTTTGGGCAAATTAAATTTTATAGATGGCACTGTTAACGCCCAAAAATATCAACATATACTTGAGACCTCCCTTTTGCCTAGTGCTCAAGAATTGTTTCCAAACGAAGACTATATTTTCCAACAAGATGGAGCATCGTGCCATTCAGCAAAATCAACTAAAAATTGGTTCGGTAATAATAATATAAAATTTCCCCTCACAACATAAATAATATAACATATTTACGCTTAAATTATAAAAACACTCATCAATATGAGACTTTCTCCTGAACTGTTCTTTGTCTTTCCTCCTAACTACGTTTTCAATCGATTACTTTTTATGAAGGATGTATTTTTCTCGAAATGCCAATAAAAAAAATCCTTTTTTAAAGACAATTCAGCGGCATACTGTAATAATTTTAAGGCAAAAATTCAGAATTCTACCCTCGTCTAGCGCAAGCAGCGCCGCACTACAAACAACTCTCTGGCATGGCGTCTGGAGATCGAAACTAAACAGTCGCTGGCTCTATTATATTCTCGGTCTTTATTATAATGCAGCCTTGTAAATAATATCCTGCAACGGTTTAAATTACGTTGCTCACTCCCTGGCCTGGCCCGAGCCCGGCACTGAAATTTTCATAACAAAGAGCCGCAGCCGGAGCAGCTCTAGACAGTCAGCTTCGGTCTCCATTTCCATTTTCCCAAACGTATATATTAGCCGAGTTTATCGATTCGTGGCTAATTTATTAAAATAGCATGAATTT